TTCATAATAGTCCAAAAGACCTTGATAATAGTTAAACATGGCAGTTTGTACATGTTTTAGGTTGCTGAAATAATCATTTGCTCTTTTTGCATTTCACACTCGCGTTTGTCTGTTTCTGAAAGGATCGGATGTGAAAAGCACTTTAATAATCATGCGCACATTATTATCATCAGCTCAAGAAGTTTGTTATTTCAGATATAGATATAGATGTGCAGTTTTAGACAACCTTGTAAAACAAAAACAAGACATGGCAGATTTTGTTCTTCTTGGCTTTGTGGCTGTTCATCAAGGTGACAACAAGGTTTTTTTGAGCTCGGGTCGACCATGGCTTGTTATTGTATGTATATATTAGAGCTGCACAATTATTTGTAAAAAGATTGCAATCTCGATTCAACCCCCTAGCCATCTTAATCCAGCATTTTTAAGATTCTGTTAATCAAATTATCAAATTCAGGAGAGAAGCAATAATGGCCGCACAAGTCTTCACATTGTTTTACATACGTTGTTCAGCAACGTGGACACCTCCAAATAGTAATGCTGTATTTTTTATAAGATATTATTCACCTCAAAAATGTCATTTCTGTCTTCATGTAATGTATTTAAGACCGCAAAATCACACGTGACTTAAGCGTTACCACAGAGAGGGCAGTCGCGCACGCGCCTCTGATTGAAGTCTACTTTAGTGAATAGAACCTGCATAGGCTGGGAATTACAGGTAATAATGTTGTAAATAATAGGGTTGGGCATCTAAGCTATAACGCCGATCCGATACGCATCTCGATACAAAGAATACGATTCGATATATTAGCGATACATTTGTGACATATTGCGATGCAACACGATACGATTTACACCCATATCACGATACAATGCGATAATTCAGCACTAACTGATTAGATCAAGTTTATGAGATGATGTGAAAGAGGATGCTGTGCCATTGAATGAGTTTGATTATTTATTAACCAAGCAAAACCAAGACTTTTTTTTTTACAAACTGGCTTTTCTCTCAGAGCCAGAGTGTCAGTTTACAGTAGAGGGCCATTTTAGAACATATAGCACATATTATTTAAGTATTTTCAAGATAAACAGAATGTATAAGTGCAATATATATTAAAATATATATATTTGCACTCTTTCAACATAAAGGTTTAGCATTGCACAACAAGAATTGTGATTTTAACTTTTCAACTATGAAAACAAGTTTTACAAAGATATATTTTGCCACTGAATATTCAAAACTTAAGGTCGTGAACTAGCAGTGTTATGCTGCTTTGAAACATCACTGTCACTGTAAACAACAGGCTAATAAAAATATAACAAACCAGCAATCTTCTTGCTGTGAGGTGGTCAAACTACCCACTGTGCCACCGTGACACCCATTATTTTTATCATTATTATTATTAATATTATTATTATTATTATTATAATTAAATAAAAATTAACAGTAGGAGGTGTTCAAAACCTTCGTTCTCCTTGACACTAGGCTGAATATCTTTGCAGATGAACAGGGCCGGCACGTCCATAGAGGCGACCTAGGCGCCAGTATAGAGAAGGCGGCGTCCGCAACACCCGCATCCTCAGTTATGTCCGCGACACCTCCATCAGCGCCCGCTTGTCCTCAGTTATATCCGCGCATAGCGTGGCAGAATAGAGGTCCGCGACACCCGCGTCCTCAGTTATATCCGCGCATAGGGCGGAAGAATAGAGGTCCGCGACACCCGCGCGTCCTCAGTTATATCCGCGCATAGGGCGGCAGAATAGAGGTTCGCGCCACCGGCGCGTCCTCAGTTATATCCGCGCATAGGGCGGCAGAATAGAGGTCCACTGGAAGATGGAGCTTTCACAACAACACCGTGGCGCCGCTTCAAGTGAGATTTCAGATTAGTCGTACTGCCCGCGTATTTTACAGATGCGCAGCACACTTTTGCAAATTGCATCTGTCCTGTCATGTCGTCCATCCTTAAATCCATAATGTTGCCATACTTTAGATTTAAAACTCAGTGGGGAATAAAATGTTTGTTTTGCTTCTTGCGCTTTCTGAGGGCGCACCACTAGCTTCATCCGCACACCTGATACACTGAGTTGTACTGTAAGTGTACACATCCGCAAATCCGTTAGGCTTACTTTATGTAGGTCGATTAAATTATGCGCCAAAAACAGGTTGACAACACTTGTTAATAAATAAAAAATACATTCTAAATTAAAAATATAAGTTGTATCTTGGAAAAACCGATGCATCTCGCAAAAACCGATGCATCTCGATTTGCTTCCAAAATTTCATTCATCCTCTGCTGCTCAACCGATGCACTCGCATCGTGCACGCGCATGACCGCGTATCGATACATATCGAATAATCTTCCCATCCCTAGTAAATAACATTCAGTTTGTGGCACAGAGTGATCGTTTGGGAGCCGCGCGGAAAGTGAACCTCTCTTAGCAGAATGAAACCAAAATCGCACAATGTTGCCAGATGTAGACTGATTCCAGCCCCAAAAGTATCCAAAACCCACCGAAATGCAAAAATGCCCACCCAGTCTTCTGTATTCATGAAAATCTCGTCAGTGACGGATTTTGAGCAGAAAATTACAGATTGTAAGCATATGTCTCAAACACAATAATTCAACATCAGAAATATCATCAGCATTAATGACCAGGACAAATCTAAAGTCTGTTCAAGTCCAATACAAAAGTCTATATAAAATTTAGCATTTTAACTAACAGCACAGCTACACAAAGCCTATTGCTGTTTTACCATATGTTTGAGAATACCAATAATTATAGCCCACTAATATTAATCATTTTCACCTTCATTTTATATCTACAGAATTGTGAGAAAATTGTGATCTTTATTTTAGGCGAAAAAATCGCCATTCTCATTTTACTCAGAATCGTGCAGCTCTAGTATATATTATTACGATGTAACGTCTCGGCTGTTTATTTAAAAATGGTGGTTCCTTTGTTTTCATTCTCCTGGCTTTTGTACATGCTTGTGATGGTTCTCTGTAAACCATTAGCCTTCAGCTGTGAGTCTAGCTCCACATTTTGGTAGCCTTTTATTGTGCTAGGTACCTTTTCATAAGGTTCCCCAAAAAGTGCTATGGTTCAGTTCGCTTTTTGGTACATTTTGACAGTGGAAACGGCGATTAAAAACATACCGTACCACTCAGTGGAAACTGGCCATTAAATAGTTGGACTTGTGATTCAGAGGTTGCAGGTTTGAGTCATCCTGGCAGGGATTGTAGGTGGTGGGAATAAATTACTAACACTCCTTCACTCTCAATACCATGGCTGAGGTGAGTCCCTTGAGCCCCGAACACCCATCTGCTCCCCAAGTGGCCCATTTCTCTGCTTGTGTAAGAGTTCCTTAACTTAAATGCTAAATGTAAACATTCTGATTGTGATCACATGGAGAAGCAGTGATGTTTTATTATGTTAATACATTTTAAAGTTATGTAGTATAATAAAATACTTTAGTGTTATTCTTTCCATATTTTTTTCCAAAAATAGAAATGGAAATTAAGGCTGTATATGTTATTAACATAAAATTGCTCTGGATTTGAACACTTTTTGAAATATTTAGGATAATGCAAGTACATAAGTCAGCAAAATACCACCGTTCTAGTGGCTTTAGGATATTTTTATAAAAGTTCTTACATATTATGTGTTAATTGGACTTTGGTTTTTGGATTGCAAAAATACCATTTTAAGCAATTAAAAAAAAGTTTTTTACAGAAAAATATTAAATGGGGAATAAAACAGAATCAGTCACCAAACTAGTTAATTGCACACCAAACCTTCTCACTCAGCCTGAAACATAAATGCAGATTTACATTTCCACCCTGCATGAGTCAAATTGAAATGCATATTCAAATGAGACCGTCAGGATGCTCTTTATATTTTGATCAGTGTATGTGTGTGTCTGTCTATGTGCATTATATATAAGGTGTTTGGATGTAAATTAACCAGACGTGCTAAATTTCCCTGTTATCCTTCCCAATAATTTGCAAACAGCGTTGGATGTATTAAGAAGATGAAATAGAGGGAATGACGCATCTGATTGCGAATCACCCAACATCCAACCAGGGCAGATTACAGCATCTTCATTATTAATGCGCAGCACTGAGTCTCACCACTTCTAAGTGGGTCACAGATTTCTGAGTCTTTTATAGTGTGCTGCAGATGCCAGATTGTGGCGTCGAAGCCAAGTCAGAGACGAGATGAGAGGTTCACATGTATAGTTGCATTTGACTATTTTTCACACATGGTTTCATTTCTGAAAGTCAATAAATCGCTTAATTCAGTTTGCTTCCATTTTCTTGATTAATTTAGTCTTATTTTATTTTGAATCATTTACATTGCTCTTTACTACCTTTCCACTACCAATCCATGCTGAAGAAAAGTATTAATTTCCTTGATAAAACCAAATGTCTTGAGTGTGTATAAATTGAAAGAAGTTGTCACTTGCCCACATTCCCAGTGTCCAAATGTACCTTTTTGCCTGATGAACTGAACTGTAAACATGTTATTTTTATATTTATCTGTTACCGTGTGGTTACTTAACTGATGCCTGCTGCATATTTGTGCATACAAATAAACAGCACCTGTCACCAAAATATGATGTTGTTGACCTTGTGTAAGGAATGTTTTGCCACATGGCATTTTGGAAAAAACGTGAGATATCTCAGACAAACCTGTGTACGAAGATTTGAAATGAGATGGTTAAATAACAACAGATAATGTCTGCGAAGACGGTACTTGATTCAAATCATGCATGTCATTCACGTCATGTCAGGGCCACTATCTTTTTTTCAATCAGTGCATTTGTTTCTAATGAAGTCGTCAGCCACTGGGTGACCTTTTATTTGCTCAAAGCCATTTTATATTCTCTGTGATTTGGGATTATTTAAAAACAGAAGTCCACACTTGTAGATGTGTGGTGTTTTAAGGAGTTTCTTGAGGTTTTTCTAATGTCTCTTCTTTTTTTTTAAACTATGTTTCAGGAGCCAGTCATGCCTGCCAGTGTGCGTACTGGGACCCTGAAGGACTCTGAGGTGTCTGAGCTCTTCTATAGAGATGATCCAGAGAAGCTCTTCACTGACCTCCGGGAGATTGGTCATGGCAGCTTTGGAGCAGTGTACTTTGTGAGCAAGCCACACCATTATTTATCAATGAATGTGTTTGAATGTATGTTTAAAGGCTCTTGACCATATTTTCCTTTCAGGCTCACGATGTGCGGTCCAACGAAGTGGTGGCCATCAAGAAGATGTCGTTCAGTGGCAAACAGTCTAATGAGGTCAGAATCATAACCAGATGTATAATAGTAGGACTGGGGGTATGACAAAAGAAACTAAAGGTTTGACTAATTCATGAAAATGATAACTGTTGTTTTATATAAATTTCACCCAGAAATTATCATTTGTAGTTGGTTTACTCTGGTTATCCAAGATGTTGTAGATTTTGTCAACATCTCAATGTCAAAAATTGTTCAAGTTAACATTTTAAGAGTCAAGCAAAACATGAATAGACAACAAATAAATTGAAACCCACAAAATTTATTCTGTTATTATCCCTGTATGATTAGTAAAGTGTTATTTCAGTCAGTCACACATGGTTATTCATGGTTAAGATCAGGTTAAGTTGTTTCATAACGCTTGATATAAACATTCTGTCTCACCTTAGGGTTATCCCAGAGTTTGCAATTAACTCTGGAACACATGAAAGTGTGACGTGTGCAACAAACAGCCACTTACACAACACATGAGAGAGTCAGTTTGATTCCAATGCAATTCAGTTTTAGCAAAAGTCAATGACTGGGAGACTTGAATGTTTTATTAAAAACCTGGTATGTACATTTGAAATATACCCATCGGTAAAATTTACCCCGTAGCGATTCTAGAGTTAATGTAGGTTCACAAACAGCTCAAAAGACCACAATTTTGAAAGCTTTATATATTATATGTTAATATTTAAATGTAAATCTTCATGTAGTGGCATCTTTGTTGCTTACATGGCATAAAAAAAATCATCATCATCATCATTCAAAGACATTTATAATATTAAATGACACTTTGAAAGCATTTGAATATTAAATATAAAAAAATGTAATTTACATAATATTAGCAGATTTTTAACAAAAACGCTTTTGAGTTTTTGACTGAGAGTGGCTTTGTTGCATCAGACATGTCACTTTACTCAAAGCTGATTAGTCCAGTTTGCTTTCATGATCTCTAACCCAGAATAAAACCAGGAGTTTTTTGTGTAACAAGTTATTAATGTTGATGAAACCTGAACAAAACCAACCCACCTTTTTGAACCCGAAAACTCTGAGTTTTCTCAAAGTAAACAAACTCACAATATTCCAAAGTTGCTTTGTGCTACAGGCCTAATGTCTAATTGATTAGTTTGCTAATATTTTGTTATATTCACCTTATTCTCCGCAGACGAGTGGGCGCTGCCATTTGAATCTTTTTGGCTTGAGACTTCCGGTCTCATTCACTTCCATTCATTTTTTTTGACGTTCAAAACTGCTCGTTACGCTGCTTGATGTTGCAATTTGATACTTTCTTATTTTATTACTCTACTTGGCCTGTATAGTCATGCAAACATTTGTTTGTAGAGCAAGTAGTTTGACCGTTTTCTGCCGTTTATTATTCTTAGTCATTTCTCCCATAGGCGACTGAATTGGAAGTTGTAAGACAATCGCGAAAACGGGCGCACTTCCGCATTTTAGAATAAGGTCAATAGAAAAAGCTACAAAAAGTGGCAAAAACATCATATTAATTAGCCAGAAAAATCACCCAGCCCTACACAGTAGTTTTGACAGTTTGATTGTTTTTGCTATTGTTTAGTGTTCTCTCTTTTGTCCCACAGAAATGGCAGGACATCATAAAGGAGGTGAAGTTCTTGCAGAAGCTCAGACACCCCAATACCATCGAATATAAAGGGTGCTACCTCAGAGAGCACACAGCATGGGTAAGTGTCTACACATTAGTCTGTGAGCGACGTGTTTGTCTGACGTGTGTTAATGTGTCTGTATCTCCTGTTAGCTGGTGATGGAATACTGTCTAGGATCAGCCTCTGATCTGTTAGAGGGTGAGTAGCTCAATTTTACCCTTCCTCTTGTTATTTCTTTTTTTTATTTTACAAAAAAGCTGTTATAATCCCTCTCATCTACCCTGTCTGACATTAGAGGTGTCCAATTGTATTTTCGGTGTTGTATTTGTGCTACCATGATCATTTGGAGGAAAATGCTGGTGTAAATATTGTAATCATCAGATTTCTGGATTGTGGTGTTTTCCCACGGTGAAATATTTTGTTGTTGTTTTTCCCCCCTGCAGTGCATAAAAAGCCTCTGCAGGAGATGGAAATAGCTGCTATTACCCACGGTGCACTTCAGGGCCTTGCCTACCTTCACTCTCATAACATGATACACAGGTGAGATCACGGACCCTCAAGCTTTTCTGTTTATCTCTATTTTTATTTTCATAGCTCACTTTAAGACTTTCTCCTGCTGACTTCTTGCCATTTGGTTTTCACCTTATGTTTTTGTGTCAGTGCTGTAACATACCTGTTTTTTTTTTTTATTATTATCCAGAGATGTGAAGGCTGGAAATATTCTGCTAACTGAGCCTGGTCAGGTGAAGCTTGGAGATTTTGGCTCTGCCTCAATCGTTTCTCCTGCCAACTCTTTTGTGGGTACACCTTACTGGTAAGTCGTGAATGCAAGGGGTTATTTGGTTTTGGCTGTAGTCTGAGAGTTTAATATTATTATTTTTTACCCATCTGACGACAACTTATAATTAGTGATGCACCAAATTGACAAATCAGGGCCCAAACCGAAAATTCTGTATGCACTTGACCTAAAACTGAAACCAAAAATTTTTGATTATTATTTTATTAAATAATATAAAGTAATTATGTGAGACTTTTTCGCTAAATAACTGAAATTATACTGACGATAAAAAAAGCACAAAAAAAAAACTTTTGACATTATATATTTTTTGGACTGAAATTGTCATTTTACAACCATTGCCATGACCGTGTACAGTATTGCAAGTATCGGATTTAATTTAAGCGGTCTTTGCTTTTTTGGTGAGCATGTACAGTTCATCAAGTAAATGTGTACATGAGAGTGGAATATTAAGTTATTTTAAGCTTAATACGGTTCTCCACTGAAATGGTGCAGATCTTTCTGTGTTAAGCGTTAAAGCTGCTTCACACTGTGGAGTGACTACAGCTGGAGGTAGAGTGAACCCAGCGTCCTGAACACCCCAGGGAATTGCAGCTTTGCACTGCAGATTGAATGCATCTCTCTTTATAATTGTCAGATTTTTTTTTAGTACATGATCATGACACTGTAATTGTCATGAAGAAACTGAGATCGTTTTCTCAGTTGAGTGATCGCATGTCTTGTGCGTAGTCGTGCAATAAAGGCTGATTTATACTTCTGCGTCAAGTGCATGTGTATGCTCCGGCGCAGCCTTCGCACAGTCTCATACCCTCGTCATGGCTGACGCCGATGCTGACACACATCTCTTAAAGAATGTAACTACATGTCGCAAGCTCTGTGTTTGGTCTGCTTGGTAGTGCTGACGAGTGTGGGCAGGACCGAGAGCTGTGCGAACCTGTTGAAGCGAGTGTTTACTGGTTCCGAGTGCCATGACAGAGCTCCAGGTGGAAAGTTTTGTTTTGTCTTTACCTTATGATTAAAGTTGTTGCATGGTCACCGGTTCCCGCCTCTGATTGAGTAAGTTTTAGCTACTTGTAAATTTAAGGTAGCATTAAAAAAAAAACGCTGCAAGTAGCTACGACTCCCTCATTCAGAGGCGGGAACTGGCGGATGTCCTGCAACTTCAATCATAAGGTAAACACAAAATAAAAACAAGTTTCCATCTGGAACTCCTTCACGGGACTTGATACTTGTAAACAATCGCTCCATCAGGCTCGCGGCTCTCAGCACTGCCCACACTCGTCACCGCTACCATGCCGACCAATAACAGAGCTTGTGCTACATGTCATTGCAATGTGTAGTTACATTGTTTTGAGAGGTGCATGTGAGCGTTGGCGTCTGCCACAGTAAGGACTATGTGCGTGCTCGGGAGGCTGCGCTGGACCATACACATGCGCTTGAGGCAGAAAAATAAATCAGCCTTAAACCTGAGCTTCCAGTCTTGTGACTGCTAAAGGGTAAAACTTTGAGGTATTATCACATCGCACAAAGGGTATTTTTTTCCATTTCCATCTATTACCCATGAAAAAGATTTGCCTGATGTGGGTTTCCAATCAGTAAACTGCGGTTTGTTTTATGCAAGCTGAACATCCTTCCAGGACAGCGCATCTTCAGTTTGCTTCTTCCTTGGTAAAGCCTGCTCTGAGGACCGTCAGATAATGTGTGCTCAGACTGTGGGGGAAAAAAAAGCACGTGCAGAAAGTGCTGGTCATGCATTCATCATGGTTAACAGTCTTGAGCACTATACAGTCTATAAGAAATCACAGATATAAAGTTTTAAAAATAATGTTGGGACTCCGGAATGCTGTTTTGTTGGATTGAGAACAGCTACTTAAAATTCTATGCTTTTACTAATCACAGTGTCTGTAGCCCCTTTCACACAGTGATACCGGTAAATATATGAAAAATTTCCGGATTGACTTTACCGGTAAATTCAAAAAAGAGCTGTTCAGACAGGCGAGGACATTACGGAATTTTTCCAGAAAAGAGCATTCAAACATCCATTCCAAAATACCGGTAATTCTGACATCATTTACCAGAAATGAGCTCTAAATGGCTGCGCTTGTATTTGTAAACATTTGACTACATTACAAACTCTGCGGATGGATCAGTATTGTGAACAACTTCGATGAAAACATATAGAGAAACATTTTCGCATGTCGAGATGTACATGATATGTGTGCGTGCTGACGCTCATAGACTGTTTATGGGCACACGCAAAGCTTGAAGGTAATCAAACAACGGCTTATCATAAGCATCTTATCGGTAATTAATTACACAGTTGGCATCAAGATGACCATATAAACGTTATCTGACAAATTTCTAGCAGCTAAATGTGTCTGGAAAAATTTTCAAAGGCTTATATCCTCAAAAACCGCGTGGCTGTGAATGCGTCTAATTGGCTAAAGCAGACGTATCACGTTAGCACATTCTAGACGTGCACAGGCTTATTCCGGCGATCTTCCTTTTGCGTTCACACAGCGCAGCATTCCGGCAAATTACCGGTAATGTTACAACTACTCTTTCCGGAAAATAGCCAGAACGAATTTACCGGTATTTTCAAAAAGAGCCTGTTCACACATACACACCTTTCCGGAAAATTGCTGGTAATTTTCCGGAAAGGTGTGTATGTGTGAAAGGGGTTATTGTTTACTGTGCTTCTGAACAAATAAATGCAACACGGATGAACATAGAAGACTTCTTGCCAAAACACTATCTCACCAATCTTAATCTATTGATCTGTAGTTAACATTGTAATAAACACCACTATTTACACAATATGCTTGCAGAGAGTTTATTTTCAAGCAGACACCATGTCTTTGAATCCAAGTTTTGAATTTGAACTGAATGTCTGAATTAATTGTTAGTTGTATCTAGTCTGCACAGATGAATGTGCTAACCCTACCCCATCTAAAAGAATTTTGTTCTGCCAAACCTTAAAGACAGTTTGCCATTTAAAATGTCATAATGCTCCTATACTCCCAATCCAAAGCAGATGTTGCAAAACGAGTCTTAAAACACAATGTTTGTGAACTTAATAAAAAGCACATTAAAATTATGAACCATTTTGGCTACAAAGTAGTCCAGTTGACCAGGATCCATCTCCTCTTGTTTTCAGGATGGCCCCAGAAGTGATCCTGGCCATGGACGAGGGGCAGTACGACGGAAAAGTGGACGTCTGGTCTCTCGGGATCACTTCCATCGAACTAGGTTTGTAAATTAGAACCGATGACTTCCCACCTCCCGCTGACCCCTGAAACTTCAGGACATCTCTGGCATTAAGAGGGTTTATTTAGGCCAGTGTGTTTCTGTGTTGTGTCTACGTCTTTTGCAAGGGAAAGGGATTTGGGTTTTAGCAACTAAGCTGCTTTGGGGTTGTAAGCTAACTTCTACTCTTCTTTCTCTTGCTCTTTCCCTCTCTTTCCATCGCGCTCAAACCTCCTGGCGTTGTCATTTTTTCCCCTCATACCTCTTAGTATCTGTTTATTTCACTGCAGATCTAATTATGGTCTCTCTTCCTTTAGTTTATTCTTAATTGTTGTGCGTGTGTGTGTGTGTTTGCGCTGGTTTCATGTTTCTGTTTGTCTCTTTTTCTAGCTGAAAGGAAGCCACCCTTGTTCAATATGAATGCTATGAGTGCCTTATACCACATTGCGCAAAATGAAAGCCCTGTCTTGGCGTCAAACCACTGGTGAGAACTTTGCTCTAATTTTCGTCCTCCTGTTCTTTTGTTTGTCTATATTAGCCGTTTGGATTTGTCCTTCTACCGTCCTTAGCATTTGCATTTAGTTTATTTGATTAGTGTTTGTGCAGGTAAACCTCACTTGTCTTTGTAGGTGTAATACAGTAATGTAGTAGTGTTACTCAACAGCAGTACAATATCATGAAAATGTGATATATAATGTGACACAAATATAATAGTTTATTGTTATAAATTGATAAATTGTATAATGTCAGTGTGAACATGGATTTTTTTTTACGTTTGTCAAGATAACAATAATTTTAATGTAGTAAAAGTGATGTGAGCTGCTTGTCTTTCTCTCTCTGATAAGTAGTCCAAAGCTCTGTTATAAATTAGAGAGTCAGAGATGGAGATTTTATACTGATGTTTAGATTTATTTTATATATATATATATATATATATATATATATATATTTAGATTATATATTATTATATTTAGATTTAGATAGAAGTTCACTTTCTCACTCATTCTGATTTTCAGAGAATTTCTATTTAACGCTGTAAGTCACTATAGTAAAACTGTAATTAGTAGGGCTGCACATTATTGGAGAAATCTGATATTGCAATATTTTGTTTTGCTGCAATATATATTGCAATATGAATGATACAAAATTAATTTAATAACTCTATTTGGAAAGATTTCATTTATTTAGATCGACTAGGATGAGCAAGTCTTTTTCTGTGCACTGCATCTGCTTAAATTATAATAAATTACAAGCCAAAATGAAAAAATAAACTGCGTTTTCTGGGGAGTCTGATGATTTTTAAGTGCAGAAATTAAAAAGTCAAATGTAAAATAACATGATCATCATTTTAGAAATAATTTTAAAAAATAAGTTATTTGTTTTATTCTTTAATAATTATCTAATCCTGCTATGTGACTGTAGATACTAATTGCAAAATTGATGTGCAAGTGATGTATTGTTCAGCCCTAGTAATTAGAAATATATATAAAAAAAATTAAGCACTTAAAGAATAAGTCACTTAAATGGATTTCAGAGATTTCGGAGGCTCACTTTCTCACTCAAACTTCGATTTACAGCAGACTGCAGTTGAGAGAATTTCCATTTTACTCTGTAAATCACAATAGTAAAACCATGTAATTTAGGGAAAATCTGACATTGTGATATTTTGTTGTGCCACAATATATATTGCAATATAATTTCACTGGATGACTTAAATAGCTCTATTTAGAAAGATTTCATTAATTTAGATTGACTGAGATGAGCAAATCTTGTTCTATGCAGTAAATCTGCTTAAATTATAATAAATTATAAGCAAAAATGAATAAATAAATAAATAAATAGCGCTTTCTGTTTTTTTGGGGAGTCTTAACAGTATTTAAGTACATAAGTTTTAACAGTCAAATGTAAAATAACATGGTTATCATTGTATAAATAAAAATTTCAAAAATAAATTAATAAAACAATTAATAAATTAATAGTTTAAAATTTTTAGTAAATAATATAATTCTACACACATTGCGATATCAATGCTTAAACGATATATTGTTCTGCCCTAGTAATAAAGAAAATATTGAAAAGTCACTTAAATGGATGTTGCTGATTGGAAGCCTTTCAGGATTTAAAAATGGCAGTTTTTGCCCTTGTCTGTGCACGTTTTTCAACTTTTCTTTATTTTTAAATTCAGGTCGGACTACTTCCGTAACTTTGTGGACTCATGTCTTCAAAAGATCCCTCAGGACAGGCCTACCTCAGATGTGCTGCTCAATGTGAGACTTGAACACGAATCAACACACTCACACTCCTCTGAATCCTTAACTTGTTTTTTCATATAAATTTCTCTTCATCTTTTCTCTTCAACTTTAGACAGGCATCGTTATCTCTTCGTCTTGTCTTGTTTTGTTAAAATAACTACAATTATTGTGCACTAAATACAGCGGGTAGAATATTGAACATGTTGCAATTTTTCTGAGAAAACATATTTTAAGGGTGCAGTTGACTTGAAATTTTACCCGGATGTTGATAACAACCAAAAAAATCCATTTATGCAAAGAAAACAAAAAAAATTTGTTTACAAATGAAGTTATGCAATAAAATGAAATGATGCAGGGAAAAAGTATCAAACGCAAGAAAAAAGGGAGGTGTAGAAAATCAGTGAAAGCCAAGACAGATGAAACCAGGGTGCACATTTTAGCAAGACTATTTAAAACACACCCAAGGAAACTCTCAAATGGTTTCAGAGAAAGAAAACAAAGCTGTAGAATAGCCCAGCCAATTACCTGACTTAAATCCAATAGAAAAAAAATTTAAATCACGCCTGAGCAATGCATGTGACTTAGTTCTCCATTTGAGAGGCGTCTTTAATCTGCCATCACCAAAAAAGCTTTTTATATAAAGTATTAAATACATTTCATTAGTTTAATACTTTCTCCTTGTCTCATTTCATTGTTACAACACATCACTCATTTTCAGATTTTTTTGTTTTGTTTTATTTTAATGTTTGTATTGTTTGGGTTTTTACTAAAATCTGGTTTAATTCCATGTCAACAGCTCCTTTAAAAAAATTATTCCCAGGTAAAAACATGACGTGTTCAATACTTATGTTCCACGCTGTATATTTTATTTGGTATATATAGGAGTTGAGATGTAATGTCAGAAACTGAATAGGACTTCATGACAGAGGCAGTGTGAAACTGCAGGTCTTTATCTCAGATGTTTTAGCGAGCATTTGAAACCTTTTTGTTTTGTTTTGAATAGTGCAAATTCAACCACTGGTTGTTTGGCAAACATACTTCCCAACTATCCCATAATGTTTATGGGATAAAAAGGTTTTTAAAAAGTAGTGTAATTAAAGTCTGCTTGTCAACAGCTTTTCTCAATCACATTTGGCCTGCATATCCAGACAGAATTACTCCGATTTGGAGGGTTCCAAAAAATGTGTTATGTTCACCAAAATACTTTTATATTTTTTTATCAAACATGCAAAAAAAGTTAAACTGCCTTTTTTTTTTCAAGTTACTTTGCAATTTAATTACTTTATGTCCTACCTAAAATGTTATTTAATCTCTGTAGAAAAGCTGAATTTTCAGCAGTCATTACTCCAGTCTCATGATCTCCCAAAAATCAATTTAGGAAGCTCATTTGGTGCTGAAGAAACACTTCTTTGTTGTGCATGTTAAAACAGTTTTGCTTTATAATTTGTGAAAACCATGATACTTTTTTCACCCTATAAGTCCTGGATGACTAAAGTTTAAGAAGTGTTTTTCAAATATGAGTCTTGTATTAGACTAAAATGTTTTTTCACAAATTTAACTTTCTTTGGAAATTGAAGAGACAGCTATATACTAAAAATTGAAATCAAAATTATTAGCCCTCCTGTGAATTTATTCTTATTTTTTCCAGAAGGAATTTTTCACAGTATTTCCTGTAATTTTTTTTCTTCTGGAGAAAGTCTTTTTATTTATTTTTAGGGTCAATATTATTAGCCCGCATGATTTTTTTTTCTCCAATTGTCAGCAGAACAAACCATCATTATACAATGATTTGCCTAATTACCCTAACTTGCCTGATTAACCTAATCAAGCCATTAAATTGCACTTTAACCTGAATACGAATATCATGAAAAATATCTAGTTAAATATTATTTACTGTCATCATGGCAAAGAAAAAAATTAATCAGTTATTAGAAATGAGTTATTAAAACTATTATGGTTAGAAATGTGTTAAAATATGTTAGGCAGAAATTAGGGAAAATATACAGGGGGACTAATTATTCAGGAGGGACTTCAACTATTTATTTTATGAAAAAAAAAAGAGTAGAATATTAACAGTAATCATTTTCCCCAGTACTAACTTTGTTTTGACAGCTAACATAAGTTTAGAATCTCATTATATCCATCTTTATGCTCTGCATATTAAACTTATTCTGGATATGACTAAATTTTCAATTATGTTAGTGATTGCAGTAATTAATATGACAAATGTAACTTCTCCAATTATGGCTCATCCATCTCTGTCATGGCTATATGAACATATATCTCTGTGATTCCTTGCAGCACCATTTCTTATGCCGAGAGCGCCCCCATTCTGTAGTGATGGATCTGATCACGCGCACCAAAGACGCCGTGCGAGAGCTGGACAACCTGCAGTACAGGAAGATGAAGAAGATCCTGTTTCAGGAAACTCACAACGGCCCCGTACAGGAAGGAGGAGAGGAGGAAGAGGTGCATCCAGACGCTTGTCAACCTTTTGTCTTTCCCTTCTTTGATCCTTCTGGCCCGTTTCTGCTCTTTTGTTATAGTAGTTAATGCTACAGAAAAGAGGAAAAGATCATGACGTCTTTTCTTCTGTGTGTGTTTATGCATTTAAGTAGAAATACTTTAAAAAATGGGGACAGGAAGCATAATCATAATGAAAATGTTCAGTAGAGGTATTTTAGTTTGAAAGACATATGTAAAAAAACAAATACTATACTGTTAACTTAGTTGCTTAATTAGTATCTGTCCTTAAATGATTAGTTCACCCAAAAAATTTAAATTCTGTTATTAATTACTCGCCCTCATGTTGTTCCAAACCGCCGAGACAGACCTTCATTCATTAGAACATTCCATGTGACTTCAGTGGTTCAACTGTAATCATGTGAAGCTCCAAGAACCCTTATGTGTGGCAATAGAACAAAATGTAAATGCAGTTTTGTTTGCCCTGTAGTATGTGTAATATACTGGTATAGTAATTAATAACACAATTTTCATTTGTGGGTGAGCTGATGCTTAATTAAAACTTCTATAGACATTATATTATCTCACACCTCCTGTCTAATAATCGCAAGGTTTGTGTTTGGTTACCTTGAAAAAGAACAAAGTCTCATCTGTATATTTTATCAGTACAATCAAAAAGTCAATGGTGTTTTGACACTTTTAAGGCCAGTTCACACAGAGCGCGATAACGATAAGGAGTTCTAAAAATCATTCTCAATGTAATGGCTCATTTCCATTAAAAAACACAAGCCTGATAAAGGTGACCCGTACCACTCACTGCCAAAAGGATACCAATGGTGGCGTGGTGTACTACAGAAAGTTTCAGTCAACGTCATTCTCGCTTAAGGAAATGTCAAAGTAAAGCTGTACGGATCGTTTACATATCATATGAGAAGCACTTCTTACACAACAGATGATTCATACACATAAATACTTGTGTATAAATGTTCATTATTAACCTTTCTATGAACATAATTTGATTATAACTGCCGATCAATGAAACGTCTTGTAACGTTTAAAATTGTATAAAATAAATAATTAAATGCAACAAATATGAACACAAACAGACACTTACAGTCTCCGGTATGTTATCAATTACAGAAAAACTACATACAGCATACATTTAGTCCTTATTTGTGTTCAAAAACAACATGCAACAAATAGCCTTCAGTCAGAGCAAACCTCTCATCTGTGTTTTTAATCTTTTCCAGCAAATGTAACTTTTGTTAGAAAGTTAAAAAGGTGATGATAATAGTTAAACATGGCAGTTTGTTCATGTTTTAGCAAAAATAATTTGCTCCCTCGTTTTTTGGGCTTCTCTTTTGTTTTTTGTACGTTTGTCTGTTTCTGGAACAATCGGCTGTCAGAAGCACTTTAATAATCATTGTTTAATAATCATAAATTGTTTAAGCTCTGGTCGACCATGGCTCATTGTTATATGTATATATTATTACAGTGTAGTTTCGGCTGTATATTTAAAAATGCCGCTTCCTTTGTTTTCATTCTCCTGGCTTGTGCAGGAGCTAGTGACCTATCTCTGTAAATCTAAAACGTTCAGTAGCGTGCCTTGATCCACCTTTTGGTACCCTTTTGTTGTGGTACCTTTCGAATGGATACCAAAATGTGTCACGGTACAGTTCGCTTTTTGGTGACTTGACAGTGGAAACGGCCATAAAAGCGCACCGAACTGTACCGCTCAGTGGAAACGGGTCATTAAACAACAGAGTTGTTATCATTGAAATCACTTTCAGAATTTATATTTATTTTTTTTAATAATCGATAAAATGGGCTTATGGTATTTAAAGCTACAGCTGACAGAAGATTAAACATAATAGCTAATCTTGGAGACAATTGATTATGCCATGCAAAAATCAATTTGCGAGCCTTGCTTGCATAGTATTGAAGCATAAAAAATAAAAGTACCTTGGTTATCCTGTGTTCGTTTTGGTATTTTTTAGTGTTTTGCTTTGATAATACTGGTTAAAGAAATTTGTTTTTGTTAGCCATCGCTAAATTCATTGTTTGAATTGATTGATTACAAGTCACGAGCTGGATTCACCGGACAAATGCACTAATATCACACTGACAATACCTGCTGATCTCAAGAGGTTAATGCCAAGTGAAAATCTGAAAATAAAAAGATAATTATCATTACTTAAATTAGATGCAAATGTATTTATTGTCATGTTTATGTTTAGAAGGCTTGGTGTAGAAAGCTTTTTAATAGAATGCCACGAAATGTCTTAAGGACATTTTTGGCAAAGTGTTACCAGGATTATGAGAATGTATTAACTATAAAAATTGAGTATGTATTTATTTGATTGTTGGTTTTAATTGTATATTTATTAGTGAAATGTTCTTGCCATAAAAATAGCCTTTGTTGCTGCCATGGCATTAAACAAAAATTTATCATCATCATCCTGCTTGGTGTGAACAGGAACTAATGTGATAAAGCGAAATGTTTGTGTAAGTTTATATTATAGGGAAAATAATGGGGAAAGATTGTGACGTCTTTGCTTTTGTGTGCAGGAAGGGGAGCAGTACCTCTTGCAGACGGGCACAGTGAACAGTATGGAGAGCTCTCAGTCTGTACCTTCAATGTCCATCAGCGCCAGCTCCCAGAGTTCCTCAGTGAACAGCCTGGCCGATGGCTCCGATGACAGTGCAGAGATGGCTATGATGCAGGAGGGAGAACAGACTGTCACTTCAAACAGCTCAATCATCCATCGCCCCTCTGTATGTTATCAATTCCAGCACAAACAATCATCATAAACTATTTTTATTTGATTGATCAGTTTATGTACCTCACATTAACATCAAAACTCACTCTTAGTTATTGAAATGGGAAGAGAAGCCTATTTGGATATTTTTAAATGATATAAGAGATTGTTTTTATTCAGGGAATATTTTAAGGGAAATGTTTAAAAATGTGTCTTCTGGAGAATTTTAGAACATTTATTATTGATCAAATTGAATGATCTTATATGACTTTTTCATCAGAGTTGTCATTTCTGTCAAATTTACTCCCCTTTTGTTATGTTTATGGCTGTTTTTGCCCCATTGACCCAGAGTGTCTGCGAGGTCTTAATGTCTTAAATTCCAAAAACTAAATTTTAGGCCTTAAAACATCTTAAATTCTGTGAAATATTGTGTTTTAGGTCTTTAGGTCATTTTAAAAATGTTTTAATTTTCCTATGTCCACGTAAAGCTACCTAATCAGGCTCACACCTAATTACTTTTTTTTAAATAAATATTTTTTTTTTTTTTTTACTGCAAATTCTCCAAATTAAATTGCCTAATCAGGGAAAGAAAACTAAAGGTTATTGCACAATGATTCCGAAATTTTTCGTCTGTAATTTTGCATGTTAAAAAAAGAAATTCGGCCTCTGGTTGTGTGAATCATACTTACATACTGCCTTTAAAACTTTCGTCCGTTTTAAGAAAACCGACGAAGGCTTTTTTTTTTTTTTTTCTTTTTCGCATCCGAAAAAGCATTTTGATAGCAGTTTTGACCGTTCAGAGCCAATGTACAAGCAAAAAGCTAGATACAGAATACCATCATTTGAGCTGCAGATAACTTTGACAAACACGGTGCATAAAATTAAGACAGAATGTGGCGGACAGCTGAGAACCCCTAAATGCTGAATTCAGTGACTTGCACACCTCTCCGCTGCTGCTGCTTCTGCTTCTGCTTGCTGTGTGTGTCTCCATACATCTGACGAACTGCCCATAGACATTAATAGAAAGCATGGTCCGCTTTCGATACATCAATGCGACCGCCATCTGTTCTAATGTTATATAATATGCCAGTCTCTGTTCAGGATTTGTTGACGTACGTGAATGTGTGAAGTATCACAAGCAATGGATCAAAATTCCACTGATTTCCTGAAATAAACTTTGGGATAATCCAGTGCAGCTCTTTCATAATAAGCTGAACTCTTCTTCCTCTCTATTGGACGAACACAATATGCAGCCTATTCCTCTTTCTGTTTCTACTTTGAAGAAGAGAGGAGAACATACCAAAGCTTAAACTGACTCTCAAATGGTTTGCGTTTTTTTGTAATGGAATGATTAATACGCATCAGAGGTTTGTTTACGTCGCATATGATTGTGAAAAAAAAACGGATACAAACGTTTCAAACTTCCATGTGCAAAGACCTTAAAGCATCACGTCCCTTCACGTGATCTATTATTAGAAAAACTATTTACAGAATTAACCAGGCCATTAGAAAAAAAAAATCGTGTTTAGCTTTGTAAAAGTCTAAAACTTCGTTTATAATGGTCTTAAGATGGTCTTGAATTTGATTTGAAGTAACCTGCTGAAACCCTGGGTCCAGGCTACGTTCACACTGCAGCCAAACGTGGCCCGAATCTGATTTATTTGCCCACATGTGACTCAGGCAATGACAGTGTGAACAGCCTAAACCGCATGAAATCTGATCTTTTCAGGTCAGATTTGTGCCACTTTCATATGTAGTCTTAAATCAGACACAGATCTGATGTTTTGCATTGGACCGCAGTGTGAACGGTTATGTCGGATTTCATGTGTCTTTTACATCATCTTAGAGCGACATGCATCATCATTCTGTGCTGCAAGAATCATCTACTCCTCAGCAGCATAGTAGAATAGCACACATGGCAATTACTTTACCACACAAAGTTGGTTGTTCATTTTGAAAAAGATTGAATACTTAGTGCATGAATATAGAATATAGTGCTGTTGATGTGGTCGTAAAACCTAAATAAATGAACAATAAACATTGCTTTAACAGGCACGTGATAATATTTACGATGACCCCTATCAGCCGGAGATGGAGTCTCAACAGCCGGCCTCATCTGCCGCTCGGAGGAGGATACACAGAAACCGAGATCACTTTGCCACTATTCGCACAGCCTCTGTGGTGAGAATATTACAGTCCAAATGCTCTTCTGATCTGAAGTCAGATTGGACAGATTATTTCATCTTCTTTTTTTGTTTTCAGGTAACCCGTCAGATTCAGGAGCATGAACAGGGCTCAGCTCTGAGGGAGCAGATGTCAGGATACAAGCGCATGAGGCGGCAACACCAGAAACAGCTGCTAGCTCTGGAGAACAAACTCAAATCGGAGATGGATGAACATCAGCTCAGGCTGGACAAAGAGCTGGAGACCCAGAGGAACAACTTTGGCAGTGAGGCTGACAAGCTCGGTAAAAAACACCTGGCCATCCTGGAAAAAGAGGTAAGGGATTCGAAAGGAAAACATTTGAAAACATTCCGCAAAAGTACATATATTCAAAATGCAAATGTTTGGTTTCTGAAGGCATGCGTGTCGAATGCATGCATTGTTGTTTTAAGCAATTGAACTGTTTTAGTCAAATATTGCTGTTAGTATATTATCATTATTTAAATACCATTTAAAAGTGTAATGGCAATAAAGCTGCGGTCACACTGCACTTTTCATCCTATTGACTTGCATTCATATGCATGCGAATGCACCAGATTAGAAAAGATTACTTCTAATGTTAAAGCTTTATAATCTATAACCTGCTAATTTACGTCATGTGATTGCTTGAGACCTTTTGAAAATTAAAACGTGACCTGTCGGTACAGAAATGTAAAATATGGGTCAATTGCTAGTTTTTATCTGTGTCCCATCATCTTGTTTTATCCCGCCCCTTTTTGCAAAACCGTACAACAGAATTTTGGGTGCCCAAACTCCAGTGTGACCACAGTTTAAGATGTTTATTTAATACATTTAAGGATAATCAAGACCTGATTTGTTTAATAATGTAATACAGCAAAATCTGCTGTATTGTGAAACATGCAATTAGAATTTAAAGGACGTTTAAAACTGAATGAAAGGAAAAGATGATGGCGAGTATTTGTGTGAAGGAAGCAGACCAGTACAGTGAACAATAAATATTTGTTTTGCATGTGTATTTATCTGGTGTGCTTTTTCAGATTAAAGGTGCTCAGACAGAAGAGAAGAAATTTCAGCAGCACATTTTGAACCAGCAGAAGAAAGAGCTTAACAGCTTGCTGGATAATCAGAAACGGCAGTACAGGCAACGCAAGGACCAGCTGAAGGAGGTAAGGAGTAGCTATTCTTGATATAAAGCCCTGAATTGAAGACTCTTGATTTGAACCATATTCACCCACCTTTTGTCACCCTGGAATGTCACTAGGAGCTGAGTGAGAATCAGTCCACGCCAAAGCGAGAGAAGCAGGAGTGGTTGGTGAGGCAGAAGGAATGTCTGCAGCAGATCCAGGCTGAGGAAGAGGCTTCATTGTTACGACGGCAGAGGCAGTATTACGAGCTGCAGTGCCGACAGTATAAGAGGAAGATGCTGCTCGCGAGACACAATCTGGAACAGGACCTGCTCAGAGAGGTATGACTAAGTGCTTTTTACATCTCTTTTTTTCTTTATTAATTTTAATTAACAGTGCTCAACATATGAGTACACCCCTCACAAATCTCTTATTTTAGATGAATATTTTCTATAGGAAGCTTTACAATATTTATGCCATATACATTAGATTTGTCAGCACTGAAGATAAAAATCTGGAGCTAATCTAACAAAACTTTCTGGATAATAATTGTGCAAAATTAGTGCACCCAGAATTATATGTAAGGAAAAAAAATCAAGAGAAACTGAACGTTTATAAAAATGTGTTGAAATTTTGTAGTTTGTAATTTTTTTCCAATATTTCGCATTAATTAAAATGTATGATTTTTCTATTTCTCAAGATGTTCAATGTATCAAATCAGTGCTTCCCACACATAGACTTCACTTGGGTGGGCCGCCCAGGTATATTAACGGCCTCCCAAGTATATTTAGTGACACTTTTTTTTGCTTTACTATTATTATCACCTTTTTACACTTTTTTTTTTTTTTTTTGTATCCGCCAACATAAACAAGTATCCGCAAGCAATTAAGTTGTAAGAGAATCTTCTCTCCTTTACCCTTTTCATACTGCTCGTTCTGTGTGTGCGAGAACTGTCAACACTCACGTGCTCTGCAGACCCACAGAGATCTACACCTTTTTGCATCCGGCTGGGGTTTCTAAATCTACTAAAAAGTCCGGGATTTGGTTTTGCTTTTGTTTTCTAAGCTGTCATTAATTTTAAGCGCACAGTCGCCAGAGTGAGAGAGACATTAAATAATTAATTCTTTAATCTAAACAACTCAGAATAACATTACTAAATAATTAGAGAGGACGAAATTACATCTAAATTGGCTGTATAATATTTGTAGACCATTAGAAATTGGTAATTAACTCATTTGTCTTATTTAAATAATCTACATGTTTTATTCTTGTAATTAATATAATTTTTAGAGAGATGGCATGTTTTTATTCCTTTTTTTCTGTCATTGATTTCTCATTTGCTGTATATTTTATTAATTTGATGATGTTAATATAGATTGCATATTTTATATATCTAAAATGCTTTTGCAATACTGAACAAAATGTCATGCCAACTACAGCAACCTGAACTTGAATGGGAGATAGAGAGAAGTAGATTTTACCTATCAGTGGGTGCACATGGCTCCTGAATAGCATAAGAGAAATGGAGGGTATTTTTACATTTTTCATATAGATATATATATTTTTTTGTACTTTAACCTATTGATGAGAAAAAGATTTAAATAAATAAAAATAGTGTTAAAATTCTAATTATGTCTTGTTTGTCGCATATAGTTAACTATTTATGTGCTGTGGGTAAATGGTGCTTTTCTTTCCGGCTACCTCTGCAAGTATATTTCAAACCTGTGGGAAGGACTCCAAATCAATGGTATATTAATAGTAGGTTATACAAGATAAAATTATATGGACAGAAGGTTTGTTGCATATTTTGAAAAACTTTTGAGGTTCTCAACTATTATACACACATTTTTTTGTAATGTCATCTTTTCCAAACTACCTTTTATTTCATTTATTCATTTTTTTGTCAACTTAGTCCCTTTTTTAATCAGGGCGGAATGAACCGCCAACTTATCCAGCACGTTTTTACGCAGCAGATGCCCTTCCAGCCGCAACCCATCTCTGGGAAACACACGCACTCATTCACACTCATACACTACGGACAATTTAGCTTACCTAATTATCCTGTACCGCAAGTCTTTGGACTTGTGGGGAAAACCGGAGCACTGTAGAAAACCCACGCAAACTCAGGGAGAACATGCAAACTCCACACAGAAATGCCAACTGACCCAGCCGAGGCTTGAACCAGCGACCTTCTTGCTGTGAGGCGACAGCACTACCTACTGCGCGACTGCATTGCCTACCTTTTATTTCTTATCTGTTAATCTTTTGTCTGTTTTTCCATGTAGGACCTAAATAAGCGTCAAACCCAGAAGGATTTGGAGTGTGCCATGTTGTTGAGGCATCACGAGTCCACTCAGGAGCTGGAGTTCAGGCAGCTGGCATTGGTCCAACGCACTCGAGCCGATCTGATCCGAACGCAGCACCAGAGTGAACTGGCCAATCAGATGGAGTACAATAAACGGCGTGAGCAGGAGCTTCGTCAGAAACATGCTGTGGAGGTCCGCCAGCAACCCAAAAGCTTAAAGGTGAAAGGATAGGGTTTTTTCTTTTTTCTTAATGTGGTGCATTCTACAATAAAACACACTGAGTGGAAATTTGCATTTTATATAATTTTGCAGATACATTTCAGAGTTAAAAAAATTAAATATTGCAATTTTAATTTGAAGTGAATTGGGAAATGAACGAGAACATAGTATTGCTTTATTAACTGCATTGTTAATACATGAGTAGCATTGGTGTATCAATTAGATTTCATTTGGATTTATTGTAAAATAGGTTACCAGTAGACCTAAATTAAACAAAAGTTGCTTTTCCACTATCTTGCTCAATGGTTGTTCCATTCCGTGCCAATCTGGGTCAGTCAGCATTGGGTACATTTAAAATTTTCCAAGGAGGTGCTGATAATGCAGCTTTCTGGAATGCAATAAAAAATGCGCCGTAGTAACCCAAGTATAATGTAAACAGTGAAATGGAAGATGATCAGATATTTCTGTTTTTGACACTACTTTTTGAGATTACCTAAATTAAATTGTCTACTTACGCTTGACCAGCTTCTGGTAACTTATAGAAAGGCAACAGAATGAGGTAAAGAAACTGAAGTGTTAATAGATTTTGTAAACAGTATACTTGTAATACTTGTACTTTATTTCTCTCCAAAACACAACAAAACAGCCCCTTCGAATTCAATGCTATTCAAAAAAATTATGCGAACATATTATAGTGGTAGCGCTTACACAGCATTGATTTTAAACCTCAAACCTAAACAAAGTTATTTAAATTGAAACCAAATTAAGCGGCCTGTGGGAAATGTGCAATACAAATATATAAGTTGCTCTGGAATAATCTGCAGCACATTTCAGATCTGTTTCAAAATATGTTTCTGGTAAAAATACAATACAAAAACCTAAAACAATACTGTTGACATAAATTGTCACAAACATAAATTGTTTATTATGTATATAAACAAAAATAGTAATTAAATGCAATCCAGATTTTTAAAATGCAAAATTAAATTAAGCAACATTTTTGACACATTTATGAATTTCTTATGAAAAAAAAATGGCACTTGGGCAGTATTTTCTGAATTTTGAGTTTAATACTTCAGGAATATTACAAACAGTGCTGTTTTTTACACCAATTGCAATTCAGTTGCAGTTTAAAAGACAATCAAACCTCAGACTTCTCTGTTGTGCACTGATGTTTATTTAGGTAAAGGCATATTTATGGCAGTTGCAATAGTGTGATGCCACTGTGAGCTTAAACCCAACCGTCTGTGGCCATAATCCTACACCTGTTCAAATATTCCAGTGATGTAAATATATGCCAGCTCAATTGAAAAGGTTTGTTTGCTTTAACGTGCACAGGCAGCTCAAATATGTTTTTTTTTTTTGCATTGTGTTCTCTCAGACGAAAGAGCTCCAGATCAAACGTCAGTTCCAAGACACTTGTAAGATTCAGACACGCCAATACAAAGCCCTGCGGAACCACCTGCTGGAAACCACCCCCAAATCAGAGCATAAAACTGTGCTGAAGAGACTCAAAGAAGAGCAAACACGTAAACTGGCCATCTTGGCTGAGCAGTACGACCATTCCATCAAAGACATGCTGTCCACACAGGCTGTGAGTAAGGCAAGGAGAGACCATTTTTAATGCTTTGTTTCAATTTTAAGTAGTGCACAATCACATCATGATGTGCTGTGAGTGGAATAATGTATGTATGTGTAAACATGCATGGGTCAATCACACAAAAATGGTCAAGAACATGGTCACTTTTCACTCCGTACAAATGATATTTATGTTGAGTTACTATTGTCTTTTTTATGAATAGCTTATTCTTATTAAAATACGCATTATTATATGCATAAAATTATATTAAATATTATTTAAATATATTTAAAGTTTTTATCGTATTTTTTGCTTTTATATTTTATTATATATATTTTTGTAAATAAAATAAAATATGCTGAATCTAATAATAATGCCTTAGTAATAATAATATTGCTTTAATAATTATAATAATAATAAATTGTAAGTATATAAATATGTCTTTTTATTATTATTTTAAAGTTGACCATTGTCGGATAATGTTTTTGACTGGTTTTTGAGATTCTCCTTCTTATAGTTAATTAATCAATTCTAAAGCCATCACGTGTCTTCATTGGCTGCTTCTCTACTGATGTCCCACCTCTTTGTTTTCGTAACAGTTGCGATTGGATGAGACACAGGAGGATGAGTATCGAGCACTGCGCATGCAGCTACAGCAGGAGTTGGAGCTGCTCAACGCCTATCAGAGCAAAATCAAGATGCACACAGACACGCAACACGAGAGAGAGGTCAAAGACCTGGAGCAGAGGGTGTCCATACGGAGAGCTCTTCTTGAACAAAGGGTAGGAGAGAGAGAAAAGGAATTGGACTGAATGTTGCTCGTTAAATAGGTTCAAGCAGCACGCAACATGGTTGTCATATAACCAAAATGGCCACAACAACAACAAAAAGTCATAGAAACTTTTCTAAATCATCAACATCACCGAACATACTGTGCATCCGGAAAGTATTCAAAGCGCTTCACTTTTTCCACATTTTTTTATGTTACAGCCTTATTCCAAAATGGATTAAAATTCACTTATTTCCTCAACTCTGCACACAATACCCCATAATGACAATGTGAAAAAAGATTTTTTGAAATTGTTGCAAATTTATTAAAAATAAAAAAACCTGAAAAATCAGATATACATCAGTATTTGCAGTCTTTGCCATGAAGCTCTAAATTGAGCTCAGGTACATTCTGTTTCCACTGATCATTCTTGAGATGTTTCAGCAGCTAAATTCACCAAAGGAGTTCACCTGTGGTAAATTCAGTTCATTGGACATGATTTGAAAAGACATACACCTGTCTGTGTATAAGATCCCAGGGTTGACAGTGCATGTCAAAGCACAAACCAAGCATGAAGACAAAGGAATTGTCTGTAGACCTCCGAGACAGGATGGTCTTGAGACTCTTCCTAGAGCTGGCCGGCCATCTAAGCTGAGTGATCGGGGCAGTATGCCCTTAGTCAAGGAGGTGATCAATAACCCAATGGTCACTCTGTCTGAGCTCCAGCGTTCTTCTGTGAAGAGAGGAAAACCTTATAGAAGGACAACCATCTCTGCAGCAATCCACTAATCAGGCCTGTATAGTAGAGTGGCCAGACGGAATCCACTCCCTGCCTGGAATTTGCCAAAAGGCATCTGAAGGACACTCAGACTTTAAGAAACAAAATTCTCTAGTCTGATGAGACTAAAATTAAACTCTTTGGAGTGGATGCCAGGCGTTATATTTAGAAAAAACCAGGCACCGCTCATCACCAGGCTAATACCATCTCTACAGTGACGCAGTTCATCTTCCAGCTGGACAATGACCCAAAGCACACCCCCAAAATATCAATGGAGTGGCTTTACAACAACTCAGTGAATGTCCTTGAGTGGCCCAGCCAGAGCCCAGACCTGAATCCTGTTGAACATGTCTGAAGAGATCTGAAAATGTCTGTACACCGTCGCTTCCCATCCAACCTGATAGAGCTTGAGAGGTACTGCAAAGAGGAATGGGCAAACATTCCCAAAGACAGGTGTGCCAAGCTTGTGGCATCATATTCAAAAAGACTTGAGGCTGTACTTGCTGCCAAAGGTGCATCAACAAAGTATTGAGCAAAAAAAAAATACTTATGAATGTGATTTTTCAGAGTTTTATTTATTTTTTAATAAAAAAAGTTAGATGTATGCAGCATTTGAAATATAAATAATTGCTGTATTGTTTATCAAATGACAATAGTAATGCATTTTACTCATTTAAAACTACATTTATGGTAGGACATTTACAAGTTATCTTCATGGAACATGATATTTACTTAATTTTGTAATGGTTTTTGTCATTTAAAAAACAAATGACAAAATAAGGGTTGTTTTGTGCTGCACTGTCACATCATGTGTAATCTCAGTGGACTTTAATTTTATAAAGAGAAAAAAAAAACTTTCTAATTCTTGCTTTTCTCTTACACATTTGTCTTTAGATTGAGGAAGAGATGTTGTCTCTGCAGAACGAGCGCTCAGAGCGAATCCGAGCTTTGCTTGAACAACAGGCTCGGGAAATAGAGTCTTTTGACTCTGAGAGCATGCGCTTGGGCTTCAGTAACATGGCTTTGAGTGGCATCCCTGCTGAGGCTTACAATCAGGGCTACTCCAACCCTCCTTCATCCGGGCCTGGAGGCTGGCCGTCCCGTCCTGTCCCCCGCTCAGGCAGCCAGTGGAGCCATGGTGTCCAGAACTCAGCTGCGCCGCCCTCCTGGCGCAGTCAGAACAGCACAGCCGGATTCAGCCGAGCAGAGCAAATGTCCAGTCGGGAGAGAGATCGAGACCGGGAGCTGGAGAGCATGGCCGCCCGTGCCTATCCAGGCTCTCGCTCCTCCGCCTCATCGGCATCATCATCATCATCATCTTCCTCGCATCATCACCTCCGCTACATCCCGCAGCAGTACCACCATCAGAGCACCCCACACCTGTACCGCGACAGCCGAGAGAGAGAGTGGGGAAGTGGAGGAGGAGGTCACCACTCTTCCTCATCCTCCTCTCATGGCCACTCGCATCACATTTCTGCCCAATCCCTCGCCCTCCTCCCTCCACCGCCGCCTCCTCCACCCATCTCTCTTTCCTCCTCTTCTCCTCCATCTTCCTCCTCATCTTCATCCTCTCAGAGTGGCTACGGAGGAAGGGGCGAAGGTTTGGTTGTCCGAGGCCCCAGTCTGATGGCTCTGAGAAACAGCCCCGGGCCCCTGCGAAGAACAGCCTCAGGTGGAGGTGCCGGCGGGTCAGGCGGAGACGGAGGTTTGAGCCGGAGTACTTCAGTGACGTCACACATCTCCAACGGATCTCACCTGTCGTATTCCTAGAGGGCGAAGTTCAGATGGTGCCATTTTTATTTCTTTATTTTTTTAGAGGGAAGGCCTTCACGCAGGAAGGCGGAGAGAGGACTTTTTAGATGGGCAAACCTTTACTTGTAAGAAGATAGATCTCAGGGTTTCCAAGGGATTCGGGAGGGCTCAGGGTTTAGATCGGGAACTGATAAGACGAGATGTACTGTAACAGAAGCAGAAAGCTATGCTGTTGTGTGTTTGCGTGTGTGGGCGGGAGGACAAAAATAACATAAGTGGTGCCAATACTGTAGATTGGGCTCATCTTCAGCTGGTTGGTTTATTTTTAAACTCTCTTGGATTCTGCCGGTGTATGTCCAGGTGATTTCTTGCACGTTGAAATGTGTAATGTTCCAGCATTACATGACTTCTTCATTATTTTACACTTAATCCTGGATCGTATTAAGCTGAATTCATTTAGTGCAATTTAGTTCATTTTCTGAGGAATAGTTTGCCAAAAAAATGAAAAGTCTGTCATTATTTACTCTCGGAAACATTGTGACGAACCCTACATGCTGATTGGTCAAGTCTCTAGATCTAAAATGAAGCTGAAAACACCATAAAGTGACTATGAACCATCTTTTATTTTAGCAATCTGAGATTTATATCTGAAAATGAATCAAAAATAGTACTTTAACATTGCGCAACTTTTTCATTATTTTACACTTAATTTTGGATTGTTTTAAGCAGAGTGTATTTAGTTCAATTTAGTTAATTTTCTGAGGAATAGTTTGCCAAAAAAGAACAGTCTTTCATTATTTACTCTCAGAAACGTGATGAACCCTACATGCTGTTTGGTCAACTCTCAAGATCCAAAATGAAGCCGAAAACGCCATATAAGATCTATAAAAGTGACTACGAACCGTCTTTTTTTACCAAACCAAGATTTATGTCTGAATATCAAAAATAGTACTTTAACATTACAGGAAGAGTACATTTAGTGCAATTGAGTTCATTTTCTGTGGAATATTTTGCCAAAAATAATGAATAGTCTGTCATTATTTATTCTCTGAAACGTTGTGACGAACCCTACATGCTGATTGGTTGACTCCCAAGTTCTAAAATGAAGCTGAAAACACCATATAAGAACCATAAAAGTGACTACAAAGCATGTTTTATTTTAGCAAACCAATGTTTATGTCTGAAATCTAATAAAAATAGTACTTAAACTATAAATGCCAAATGGTTTTCGCATAGTCCATAGTTTGCATAGTACTTAATATGGAAAAAGAGCAGCATTATAGGGATCGATACTCAAAATTGAATATTTCTGTTATTTACTCACCCAGTTTCTTTGTTGAACAAAAAAGTGCAAATTAGGTAGCACTTAATTTTAATGGTCCCTAGTGGACATTTTGTTGACTATAAGTTGCATTGCAACTACATGCCAATTTTTATTTGAGTATAAGTAGACTGTCTGCTTAGATACTGCTCCTTCAACAGACATTTAACTGACTATAAGAAACTTTGCAAGTACATGCCAACTTACACTAACCATACCCTAACCACACCAAACAATCTATTGAGAATGTAACTTGTAAATTCAACAAAATGCATTAAAGCATGGATCTCAAACTCAATTCCTGGACAGCCGCAGCGCTGCACAGTTTTGCTCCAACCCTAATTAAACACAGCTGATCCAACTAATCGAGGTGTTTGAGACTCTTTTAAAGAACTTAATTAGTTGCATCAGGTGTGTTTGATTAAGGTTGGAGCAAAACTGTGCAGAGCTGTTTCTCTCCAGGAATCGAATTTGACACCTAAGATGATCATCAAAATAAAGTGATCCCGACTTCTATTGTAGAAAAGGAAAGTACTATTTGATTTACAACATTTTTCCAAATATCTTAAGAAACTCATGTTTGGGTCAAGGGTGAGTAAATGATGACAAATGTTGAACTACATCTTTACGAGATTTAGGGACGAGTGAATAATGGCAGAATGATTCATTGACTTTTGTGTTTGAGCCAGATAATCTGAGCCAGGAGAGGATGAGTCCTACTAACATCAATTCTACTGCTAACGGGAGCAAGTCGGATGCAATAGAAAGGTGCGGTAGCAAGTTTCAGGGAGACCAGGCGTAAACTGAGGAACTAAAAGGGTGATTAAACTGATCTTTGTGTAATTATGTAGATAGTACTAAAAATAAACAATACTAAAAGAACATCTATCAAGGGATAGGTTTCTAACTGTACATTTGTATTCGAGTCAAGGGTCAGAAGGCGTTTTTTATTTTGAAACGTGTTTAGCTTGTTTTAAAGTAATGCCACATATGTCATACTGCCATCTAGAGGCTAAGCAAAAGCAACTCCGCCCATCGTCCTTATAAGGACAAGCTGCCATTTAAGTTGCAATTTGGGCTGTAATTTAGCTTGTTTTTAGCGCTCGTTACTTTGAAAAAGAGATTGAACCTGGCTAGGTGAATAAGCCATTTCTTTTGCCCGTGTATATAGGATGTACATGTCCATAAGAGAGTTGAGTTTCCGCGCATGAGACTGATGTACAGAGACCGTTTGTATACAAACGTACACACAGCAGACGTTTATATATGACTTTGAGTATATATATATATATATGTGTATAATACATCACCCGCCGGAGGTTTAATGGAGAACGCTGAAAGATTGTTTCCTGCTCACACTTTTGATCTATATTGTACTTCTACGACATGTGTGTGTGTGTGTGTGTGTATATACAAGCACTAACTCTTATATAGGGTAATAATAATTTTGCTATGTGAATTGGAGAGTGAGATGGGGAAAACAAATTAGATACTGTCATTATTGTTACAACTACTGCCGCTGTAATATTTGTGTTGTACACTAATTTTAAGGTTTTTTTTATTATTATTTTTATCAATGCTTACCACTAGGTGGGAAATATTACAGTGTCACGGTCTTGTTTTAGATTTAAAAAACAAAACAAAAAAAACAACAAAAAAAGGACTACCTATCCCAGCATTCCTTGTTACATCTCAGGGTAGGAGTCTATTGTGCAGTGCGTTGTCAGGAGAGTAGTATTTTAGAGCCAGTATTAAACTTGTACAGACCATTTTAAGAGATTTTAGCTGTATAGAACATTTCTAGACGACTGTAAAGTGTCTCAAAACCTGCTCTATGATCCGTAAGTTTGTTTTTTTCCTCTCCATTTTACATTTTACGTTCTGGATTGCATTACCTAATTGTTTTGGCATATTTTTGTATCTACAAAACAACTCCACAAGGTGTTTACATTGACAACCAAAATCTCCAGCATACGCGGTGAACTACGAAGCTAGGTTTTGTCAGTGATGTTGCATCGTTTATTTTTTATTTTTTCCGAAATGTTTTGTGCTCCCACACTGCCAGCTCTCTTTCTACACCAGCGTTCACTTGGACTCTCAGTGCAGTACCTCACTTCCCTGTGCCTGGCCAATCACTTTTCAGTGTTCACTTCATTGCTCCTCCCTCTTAGGTTCTTACTCGCTTACTAACATCTGTGGACAGAAGAGGAGAAATTAAACAAACAATCCTCGGCCCGTCTGTAGCTCTGGGCTGCCATGTAATGCGTTTACAGCAACACATGCTGGATTCTTTTAGTGTATTCTCTTTAAAGGGGGCGTTTCAGTATCTGGCGGTAATCTAATCTGGAGGTGGTAAATGTATGAAATTGACTGTCATCGTCTGCAGTGTTTGGAGCTGGTGGAGAGTATGGTTGTTCAGGGAGCTCTGATTATAATAATAAAAGGCCAAATTACGTTCAGGTGATATGATTACAGGACTCTTTAACACACATGGGCTATAGAACTTGTACAGAAAATGATTAACAAGTCATTAAAAAAAGGATACAAACCGAATGTGCTTTGCTGTGTGATCTGTTTCTGCACTGTGTTCTCTCAGCTCCGCCGGGCTGTTTTCTGAATGGACAAAATGTTCATCTGCCTTGCTGAAGGTACAGAGAAAAGATCGTTTCCATAGAGACAGAGGCTGTGCTAAGTGGAAATTACTGGATGCTTGTAAAAAGAAAACAACATGTTGGTACTATTTTTAGTCCTAGACACAATTATGGCATTTATTTTTTGCTTTTTTTAATGTATAATCTATTATCACCACCAGTGTTCTTGTTTAATGAACTTTAAAATATATATTAATATAAATTTGTCTTTAAAAAAATAGCTAAATAGCACACATACAACTATGGTACTAAATGATTCTCCAGTGAAATTCCTTTTGTCACGTAAAGTGTAGCTAGGTTTTAAAAAATGTTTTTAGACCTATAAACTAATATTAAACTGTACACGTATTACAATTATTTAATGACATAACTCAATGTTTTCTAATAATTGTTATATTTGTTATAATTGTTATATTATTATGCAGAAGTATTTATGGCAAGTTAAATGAATACAGTATAAACATTTTCTACCAGATAATATTGGTTTGCTAAAATGCTCACAATTATATTTTGCACCAATTTTTTGTTACCTAGAAAAGACTTGTCTGAGAATATTAATCTCTTTCTAGCCAAAATGAACAGCAAGATCGACTTTACAGACTTCACAGGACAAACTATACATTAAGAAAGATTAAAACAATTACTGATTGTGGAATCACCCCCCGTTTGTCGAGGGACACCATTTTAAGACATTTAGGACATTAGTTTAATGCGATCACTTGTATTAAATTATTAAGCATTTTAAGGTGGATGGATGGATATAGATAAGAAGTAATATAGAATAAGATCGATGGATAGATTAATGGACATTAGAAAGAAATAAGGTAGATAGATAGATAGATAGATAGATAGATAGATAGATAGATAGATAGATAGATAGATAGATAGATAGATAGATAGATAGATAGAAATAAGATTAGATGAAAAGAAAAATAAGAAATATGGAAAGATAGATAGATAGATAGACAGACAGACAGACAGACAGACAGACAGACAGACAGACAGACAGACAGAAATAGATGTTTTTGCTAGTTACCTGTTATAATACGGCACTGTCACAGTGGTGTCAGAGAACAGCTGATCTGAGGTCAGCTGCGGCCTGTGACCGCGCAGACTGAGCGCTTGCCAATTAAAGGGGAGGATTCATTCTGCGGCGTGCGCGCGTACAGGAAACATGACGTCACGCGCCACGCTCATCTACAGTCCTCCAGCAGTCAGAGGGAGTTGAGGGAAACAGAAAGCTAGAAGACAAATTCAGGGAGCTCCGTCCAAAGAAAGAAACTCTCGGCATCATGACCGAAGAAAATATATTCCTGTTCGTCCCGAATTTAATCGGTGAGTGTCAGTCGAGCAAGTTGACGGAAACAGATCGTCAGCGCGCAATAGAGTTCTGCGCACATTCAACGGCAGCATAATGACAACAAGTAATGGTGTTTCGTGAAAACATCTAATATATAGCTCATAAATGCTTTCTTCGTGATGTTTTAAAGTATTGTAAATGATTGTGACATCGGTTGGTTTGACTTCCTGCGGATGTTTTGCGTGATGCTATTGGCTGTCATCGTAATCCATGAAGCTCATTTGATGCAGCACATTCATTTACTAATACTGTAAATACAGTGTAAAGGGTTAAAGTTGGCGTAGTATTACACGTTACAACCAATTAATTTCAATCATTTTCATTCTAAATGCAGAATATATATTATGAATATCTGAACCATGTGTCATTTACATGTTATCTCGCTATCCTATTTTAAAACGCCTTGATTTGACCTTTCATTCAAATCTACTGGCCTATTTCTAGTGACGTATGCAATCATTAAACCAACATTTGTTTGACTTCACTTTCTCCTCCTGGTACTATAAAACATTTTCAGTGATCTGAAAACAAGTGTGCAGCGTAGACAAATGACCGTGTTCAGATGTGTTTCTTGTAAGCACTTGTGTGCATTAATTTGTAGTACTCCCTCTTATTTCTTCATAATTTAACAGTCTTGTGCAAGTTACTTCTAAACTGTAATACATTATGCATTTCCTGTTTCTGTTATTTAAAAGTAATTTCCCACCTTACAATATTACTGTCTCAGAGTCAAACCTCATTTATTCATTCATTTTCCTTCGGCTTAGTCTCTTTTTTACCAGGTGTCGCCACAGCGGGATGAACCGCCAACTTATCCAGCACATGTTTAATACAGCGGATGCCCTTCCAGCCGCAACCCAATACTGGGAAACACCCATACACTCACGTTCACATTCATACACTACAGCCAATTTTAGTTCATTCAATTCACCCACACGGCATATTTTTAGACTGTGGGGAAAACCGGAGCACCCAGAGGAAACCCACACCAACACGGGTAGAACATGCAAACTCTACACAGAAATGCCAACTGGCCCAGACGGGACTCGAACCAGGGACCTTCTTGCTGTGAGGCGACACAGCAAATTTCCACTAGATTATCATTGGGACCCCCACTTTTAGAACCACTGTTGTGTACTATATACAATTGAAGTCCGAATTATTAGCCCCCCTGTTTATTCCCCTAATTTCTGTTTAAAGTAGAGATTTTTTTAACACATTTCTAAACAATAGTTTTAATAACTCATTTCTAATCACTGATTTTTTTTTGTCTTTGCCATGATGACAGTAAATAATGTTTGACTAGATATTTTTCAAGACACTTTTATACAGCTTAAAGTGACATTTAAAGACTTAATTAGGTTAATTAGGCAAGTTAGGGTAATTAGGCAAGTTATTGTATAACGAGGGCTTGTTCTGTAGACTATCAAAAAATATATATATAGCCAATAATTTTGACCTTAAAATGTTTTTAAAAAAATTAAAAACTGCTTTTATTCTAGCCAAAATAAAACAAATAAGACTTTCTCCAGAAGAAAAAATAGACATACTGTGAAATTTTTTTTACTCTGTTAAACATATTTTAGGAAATATTTTAAAAATAAAATAAAATTCAAAGGGTGGCTAATAACTCTGACTTCAACTGTAGCTTTGGAAGTGGCAATCTATTCTTCTAAACTTCAATTTCACTGTGTAATTTTCACCATAAGAGGGTGCTTATTCACAACAAACAACGGTGTAGTTTGATGACAGACACCATGATTAAGTGTGGAAATATGGGAGTTGTCATCTTTATTACATCCTACAGGACGTACTGTATAAGGATGAATGGAATGAATCATGAGACTAATGAGATGAAGCACGAAAGCCGCAGATCATTTAATATATCAAAGTCCACCGCTCACAGTTTATTGCTCATGAACTTGTGAAGTAGCAGCGCTGATTGATTACACCAAATACATTTTAAGATTCTGTGAAAAATGCTGCTCTATGCAGTCTAATAAAATGCACAACACTACATCTTTGGTGTTTTCCTGTTTTCTATAAAGCCAAACCAGATAATGGGGTTGTATGACGTCATTGTTTTGGAGAAACAAAGCATGGCCCATGTCACTAGATTAAATAGCATGTTTCTTGGGATTTGAGCATTCTTTGAAGCAATTGTGAAAATGCAAGTACATTAGTTTTATAAACTTCTTCTTCTTTGGCCTTAGTCCCATATGGTTGCGGGGTCGGCTCTTTTGGAACAAGTCCTCCATTTATCGTGGTTTAAGGCTTGGTCAGGATGAAGTCGTGCGGCGACAAGGTCGTCATGTAACGTATCAAGCCATCGCTGCTTTGGATGACCTTTCGGACGTTTTCCTTCAACATTGATGTTGACGCCCTTCTTTGCAAAAGACTATTCGCTTGCACGTAGTGCGTGGCCATACCACCGAAGGCAGGCTTCTTGCATTTTGTCTCTGATTGGTGCTACACCATATCGCTGTCGGATGTCATCATTGCAAATTGATTGGTGATTCTGCTGATCCATCGCCGCATTTTCGTTTCCCTCACAGCGAGACGTCGTTCGGCAGTCTTCGTGATCGGACAGCATTTAGCTTCATACAGGGCGACGGGAAGAACTACTGCTCGATTGACTTTCGATTTCAGATAATCCTTCATCTGACGGTCGCAGAGCACGCCAGTTGTCGCAGGAAATTTTGTCCATGTGGCATTGATCTGCGCAGTGATCTCAGGTCGCAGGTCACCATCAGCTGTAATCACCGATCCGAGGTATTCGAATTTTTTCATGCGTGGTATGTCGGTGCCACTGACATTTATTGTGCCATCTTCCTTCGGGTTTGTCGTCAAGTACTCGGTCTATTAGTATTATAAACATATAACACCATTCTAATGTTTTTTAATAACTTTTATAGTGATAGTTCAACCACAAGTGAAAATAGTCAGCATTTTCTTAACCTTTACTTGAAAACCTCTTAGACTTTTTTTCTTCTGTTGCAGAAAAAATAATATATTTTGAAGAAATCTGTAAACCTATAACCACTGACTTCCATCGTATTTGTTTTTCCTCCTATCAAAGTTGATGGTTCGACGTTTTCAGCTTTCTTCCAAATACCTTCTTCATATTTAACTGAAGAAAGAAAGTCTAGGAGATTTTGAACAAGTAAATAGTGAGTGAGTTCCCACTGTACACTCATGCTTCCTTTGTATCTTTTCCCACACGTTTAATAGGATATGCCCGTATCGTACTGGCTCTGGTGTCCTTCTTCCTGATGCCCTGCTGCCCAGGCCCAGCAGTGTTTTGTTACCTGCTGAGTGCCCTGTTGGATGCCTTCGATGGACACGCAGCCCGTGCGCTCAATCAAGGTCTTTTGCAGCTCGGTGTTGTACATTATTCCTTTTTCTGTGTCTTTCCTACTCTGTACTCATTCGTGCCTCGTCCTTAGGTACAAAATTTGGTGCAATGCTGGACATGTTGACCGATCGTTGTGCCACCATGTGTTTGCTGGTGAACCTGGCACTGCTGTACCCGTCCTACACTTTTCTGTTCCAGCTCAGCATGTGTCTGGACGTGGCCAGTCACTGGCTGCATCTGCACAGGTATGTCTAAATAATCTTTTATTTAAAATAGAGCTGCTGGAAAAAGTCCTAATTGCAAAGGAAAAGGCATTTTTGAACTTGGGAGGGTTCCATCGTCCCAGAGTCAACACTTTTAAAGCTTTTGTGTGTGTTTTTTGATTGTCAAAGGGATTGTTATTAATACGTGGTTTACAGTGGGGAAAACAAAAATTATCAAGGAAATTAAATTCTTTTATTTTAGCATTTTTGTTTTATCAAGAGAGTCAGGGTGATTCTTATTTCTGGGTTGGCTTAACATAATATGTCGTCAATGCGAAACCTTGTAAGCATCACTGGATGTTCTGAATACCAGGTGTGTCGAAAGGTGGAGGGCGCAGCTCTGCACAGTTTAGTTTTAACCCTAATTAAACACACTTGATCAAACTAATTAAGTCCTTCAAGCTTGTTTGAAACCTACAGGCAAGCATGTTGAATAAGGTTTGGAACTAAATTGTAGGGGTGCGACCCTTTAGCAACTCAATTTGACACCCCTGCTGCATACAGTACATAAATTAGTAAGAAGCCATTGAGCACCCTTAAAAATCTACAGGTTTACAAATTATCCTGCTCTAAATTGGTATGGATCATCCAACATAGTTATTTTGAGTAGACTGTTGATTTGTGAATCTTGTGATGCCAGTGCCACCTTCTCCAATGCAAGCTTCATTAGTCTAATTTTCAGACTGATTTCCATTGCAGTGAAGCTTCCAAATTAAATGTGCAACCACAATTAATGCAGATCCACTAACAATAGCACTTTTATTGATAAAATGCACATTTGAAGCCGTAATATCTCCCATATAGAGCAGGGGTTATACCTCTAGCCCAGGGGTTTCCACCTTTTACAGATCCTCAGCCAACCCAAGGACCCACTGAATACAAAATGTTTGTCGGTAAAATGTTAATATTTTTACAGAAATAATAATAATAAAACAGAAATGACAAATGAAGTATAATTAATTTCTTATGTGTTACTAAAGTCTTTTCTACGTGAATGTGAATTATTCTATTTTAAACATCCATGGTTCCTTTTTGGACAATGGTTGCTTGGGACTTTTGCTGTCTATGGAGGATGAGAGAGCTCTTAGATTTCATCTTAAATATCTTAATTTTTTAGGGTGAGCTAACCCTTTAATCAAAATCTTCAATTTATTAGTCCTCTTAAAGCATTCATCCAAAAATGTTAAAATTTGTTATTTATTTATACAGGGTGGGCCATTTATGTGGATACCCCTTAATAAAATGGGAATGGTTGGTGATATTAACATCCTGTTTGTGGCACATTAGTAAATGTCAGGGGGCAAACTTTTCAAGATGGGTGGTGACCATGGTGGACATTTTGAAGTCGGCCATCTTGGATGCAATTTTTGTTTTTTCAATAGGAAGAGGGTCATTTGACACATCAAACTTATTGAGAATTTCACACGAAATACAACTGTGTGCTTGGTTTTAACGTAACTTTATTCTTTCATGAGTTATTTACAAGTTTCTGACCACTTATAAAATGTGTTCAATGTGCTGCCCATTGTGTTGGATTGTCAATTCAGCCCTCTTCTCCCACTGATAGCAACACCGCAGGAGAAATGCCAGCATAGGCTTCCAGTATCCGTAGTTTCAGGTGCTGCACATTTTGTAAATTCCCAATAAGTTTGATGTGTCAAATGACCCTCTTCCTATTGAAAAAAACTAAAGTTGGATCCAAGATGGCCAACTTCAAAATGGCCATCATGGTCACCACCCATCTTGAAAAGTTTGCCCCCTCACAAATACTAATGTGCCACAAACAGGACGTTAATATCACCAATCATTCCCATTTTATTAAGGTGTATCCACAAACATGACCCACCCTGTATACAGTGTTGATATATTGCTAATCATCAGAGTGTTTGTTTTGTTTCTTCCAGTTCCATGATGAAGGGAGCCACTAGTCACAAGGCCATTGATCTCTCTGGCAACCCCATTTTACGGCTGTACTATACATCCAGGGTAAAGCAATCATTCACGCATTCACTCACAGATGTCGTTTACACTAGTGCGTTTCTGTTTTAAAGCGGCTTTTTAGAATGAAGATGCTCTGAAGGAAAACCTCCATCCACACCATTCAACCTAAAACACATTATATTTGACCATTCAAGTTCACTGGACAGGCACATATTTTGCCAGCATGCTGGTGTACAGGATAACAGTATAGTTTTAAAGGTAAAATGAGAGGGTCTTGACCAATCAGTCAGCGATATGGTCCAGAAGACCAATCGGATAGCGACCATGGATAGCCACACCTATATTTACAAAAGTTTGCATAGCAGACTCTCTACATAGTTTTCATAACACTGTTTTTGGGGGTCTACGATGCCGGAGTAGTGTTGATAACGGTGTAACCATAATAAAACGAATGTGTTTTAAAATGTAAACGCATTAGTGTAAACGACACCACAGTCAAGAATTCGCATTAAAGGCACATGACTAGTGAGATTCTGCTTGTTAACCAGTTGTAGTCAAACATATATGTCTTTAAAAGTGTTTATTGGCTTTCATGACATCAGTGTTGTTGTTTTTTTTTAAAGCCGGTGCTGTTTTTCATGTGTATGGGGAATGAGCTGTTCTTCTGCCTGCTGTATATAATGTACTACATCGAAGAACCCCAGGGTGAGTATCAGCATATTTCATTTCCTCCAGCCAGGTTTATTTATTGAAGTGGCTTTGAATCAGGTCTGGATTAAGAATTCTCCTGGGCACAATGTCCTGTAGGCCCGCTACCTAGCTGCATCCCTATAGTTAAATTAGAAAGTAAGATTAATATAATATTTTTTAAATAAAATTAATCTATAATGTATTGCCCGCATTTTTTTTAATAAATGATATACAGTACATATATATTAAGTCTACAAAGATTTAACCTATTTTTAAAGCATTTAAAGCATACTTTGAAAAAAAATACAGCTAGTTTAAATGAATGGATTTTAATATACTTGTTTAAGTTCACTGAAGCAGTATTAAAATGTATATTTAAGGGTATTTTCAATGTATAACTTCTACAAACTTGTAATGCATTTGATTTGGATATAACACCTTTCCAATCCAGTGCTATGAACACTTAATAATGATTCCTACTTGTCTTCCTTGTGATGAAGAGTAGGCAAAATCTGATATGTAGTGAGGGGAAAAAAAAGAGTTCATCAGGCGCTGGATTCGAACCGGGTTCATGATCGATTGCGTCAAAACATGTTGCCATGCTTTTTACGAGCTACGCCACTCACACTGCTGTCTGCTGCGCTCTTTAGTTTAGTTGTCTCTGTCAATCAAACGATGATGGGCGTGAATCGCTTTATTCGTTTATTCCAATTTATTTTCCCCCCCCTCGCAGGGGCCCCTAGTGTGCACAGGCCCCTGGGCTGGGCTTTACTGCTGTAAAATAATAAATTTTTAATGGCCTAGTAAAAAACAACAACTTTTCCCCCCATTTAACATAATATATTACATTTTAGGAAACATTAATAATATTTTGGAACAGTAAGCATGTCAGGCTACTAGGGGTGTGACGAGATGCATACTCCACGAGATGAGACGAGACACGAGATTGCGTTGATGAGAATGACACAAGACGAGATTTTTACACTTTTTTTAGAAATCGTCATTTATTCAACTGAAAAAGAAAATCACAAATTGCAAAATTACTTAAATGCTTTTTGAAAATCAACTTGTAATGAATGTTATTTTACTTCTATTGTAATGAATTCTATGGAGTAAAGGGCATGCAAACACTGCAAAAAAGTTTGCTAATAGCCTATGTGAATGGAAAATAGTTTATTATTAATTTTAAATATTAACAAAATATTTGCTAATACATGAACAGAAAATAGATTTTAGTTTAACTGAAAAAATCACAAACTACAAAACTATTTAGGTGCTTTAAAAAAAAAAAAAACTTTTTTTTTTTTTTTTTTTTACTTCTGTTTGAATGAATTCTATGCCATAAAGCACTTGCAAACTTTATAGTTAGCTATAAACTACTAACTGGCTTCTCGCCCAAGCAACCAAATGACACGTGTAACTCTGAGGCCAGCCTGGGTTGCCAGGTGTGTGCAAAGCACTTGATTTGCAGTTCAAATCCAAGCCTGCCTCCAGTCTTCGATGCTAATTTCACCCTCATGCTCCATCATAACGTCACAACTCAAAAGGCAACTTTTCACCTCGACGAGAAATCTTGTCTCGATTTAATCTTGCTAGACCTTGTCATAATCAGAGATGTATAAAGTACTAGAGACCCATACTTAAGTAAAAGTACAAGTGCTTTATCAAAAAGTGACTTGAGTAGAAGTAGAAGTGCTCTTTAAGCACCATACTTAAGTGGAAGTACAAAAGTATTCAACATTTTTTGTACTTAAGTATTGCAAGTAGTTTATTTCAAAATTTACTACTCAAGTACTGAAAGTAAAAGTACAAGTATTGTGTAATGTAGTTATTAAAGAAAGCAGTCAAAATACACTAATTGTTTTGTTTATTTTAAATATCTTTTTTAGGTATTTGATTAAGCAGAACGAAAAGAAACATGGCTTATGATACTGTTTTTCTCTGTAAATAGTTTCTATGGTACAAGAGCTCACATCGTCAGGCCCTTTAACCAGAAAATCTCTTCACTGATGAGATAATTCAGCATGTTCACTCACATACATACTGTACTCTCTAATACCACAATGAACAGGAGTTCTGTCTTCTGGAAGCACTCGTGAAACTAAACTAAACAAGCAAACTAAATCCTGCTTCACTAATTCACTTGATTTTGATTTTATTGTAAAAAAAAAAAAAAAAAAACAGGAAAATGTGTATATTACTGTTATAAATGAAAATCTGAAATATTTTATGGCTTATGGCTATGATTTAGTAATAATTGTTATTTATTTTTATCATGTTTTTAATGAAATTGGTCTTACAGTTCATATTTTCTGTAGTATATTTATTAATTCTGGTACTTTTACCATAAACCAACATCTCAACCATTTGGTAGAGGCTGATATTTTAGAAATAATGTGATGTGTTGAATAAAAATGCACTGATTGTGTTAACTAGCGACATTAGGAGTTAAGAAATGCAATCAAAAAAAATTCTATTGCTTTTGTCTTGGTGTGACAGTTAAAGGGTTTTTGTAATAAAATTTTGTCCTTTAATACAGCAGTCAGATATACAAACTGTGCCCTTAATTTGACCTGCTCAAAGAAAACACTCTTTCTGGATGTATCAAACAAAACTCATGCACAGAAGACAGCACAAGCATTTACAGCTAATAAACTCATGTCAATATTATCCCGCCTGCTTTTTGAGCGCTGACAGGCGGGTCTTACACGGCTATGATTGGTTATTGTCCTCAACAGAAAGGGCTTTAGAAATATAAGCGCTGTTCACCCATGGCGGGAAAAATACGCGATTATCACAGGTAATAGACACAGTGGAGAAAACTTAATTGCACATGAGGCACGCTCATGTCTGGATCCACAGCTTTAACAGCTAAGAAGAGAGGAAAAGTTACCTTACAAACTGGCCGGCGGGTCAAATGTCTAAAGTGAGAGAGCGAGAGATAGGCAGAGGTGAAGTTTTACAACATTTCTCCCTAACAGTAAACTAGCGGCTGGAGTGCTGTGCCGCCTCGCCCTCGCGCCTCCGTCCTTCGCCATAGTATTGCGACATCGCGCATAGGAGATAAATGACGTCATCACGTAATAACCGGTTATGACCTATTACTGAACTGATATCAATCATTTTGACACCCCTAGTAACGAGTAACGATGCAGCACATAAAAAATCTATCGGAGTAAAAGTATTAAACTCATGGAAAATATGTACTTAAGTAAAAGTGGAAGTAGGAGAAAAAAATAATACTCCAGTAAAGTACAGATACTGCCTTTTAGTACTTAAGTACAGTAGTGAAGTAGTTCTACTTCGTTACTATACATCTCTGGTCATAATTGATCTTGTCACACATCTACAGGCTACATTTTTTAAATTAAAATAAACCATTGACTTCTACTATCTTCATTAGCTTCAAAAACACAGATTTCCTCACAACACATAAAAAACCCTCTACATATACCCTAGAAACGGTATAACGAATCATTTTTACGGTTTTAATATCTTGACTATTTCAAATTGCAGTAAACCTTGAAACAGGTTATCATCTCATAATAATAATACATTATATTTAAAGGCGCCTTTCTGCCAACTTAAGGACACCGTACAATAAAACAGGAGCAATAAAACAACAAGAGAAATAACAAAAAAATAAACACAGCAATAGTGTAGATAAAATTAATTAATTGAGTATTAAAAGCCATCTTAAATAAGTGGGTTTTTAGTCTTGATTTGAATAGTGTGAGGGAGTCAATGTTTCTGATGGCAGGTGGTAGCGAGTTCCAAAGCCCGGGATCAGATCGGCTGAATTCTCTGTTGCCCATAGACGAGCAGAGGGAACAGACGAGTAGAGGGAGGAAGAAGATTGCAGGGTGCGAGAAGTAACAGAAATGTGGATGAGGGCAAACAAATACGGAGGGGCGAGATTGTGAATGGCTTTGAATGTTAACATCAAAAATTTTTAAATCAATTCGAAAATGAACTGGTAACCAATGAAGCTGCTGCAGGACAGAGGTGATGTAAAGAGAAGGGGGTTCTGGTGATGATACGGGCAGCTGAGAATCTAAACGAGATGTGACAGGGCTATAGACGAGAACAGCAGTGGCAGGAGGGGTAAGAGAAGGGCGAAGACGGTTAATGTTGAGTAGGTGTAAGTAAGCAGACCGGGTGATGTTATTGATGTGAGAATCAAAAGATAGGGTGCTATCAAGGAAGACACCCAGACTCTTAACCTGTTTAGAGCTATAAACGGAACAGTCATCAATAGAAAGAGCAAAGCTGTCAGTTTTGGAGAGTGTTGATTTTGTTTGATTTGAACTATTATCCCATCTGTCTAGATGTGACCATTGTGGACACACACATTGCAATGTCGACGCTCAAACGATATATCGTGCAGTCCTAATTTGAATGAGATGCAGAAGAAACTAGTCCCACACACTGCTACAGCTTGAGCAATCTTGAAAAGCAACATCTGAACATTTTAAGGTCTACTATAGCGGAATGGTCCTATTGTCCACCACGTTGGTTGTGTGTTATCATCTAATAATTCAACAGCCTGTTCTTGCTGATTTCTTACGTATGCACTGCCACAATATTATGAAACCCAGATGACTTCAACTTGAATATCGTCTGCTTTGTATGTTCATGAATAACCCCTTACTCTCTCTCTCTCTCTCTCTCTCTGTTTTTGCTCAGTATGGCTGCAGTGGCTGCTGGGAGTTTGCGGCGTGGTGTGTCTGCTGAAGTCTGGCATAAGTTTCCTTCACCTCATCACCGCTTCCCGCAACATGGCTGCAATCGATGTGGCCGACCGAGAGAAAGAGCGGAGCAAAGCACAATAAGACATGAGCACATAGAGATACCAAGAAATAGATGGAGAGATGCACAGAGAGAACGTGGGCCAGTGTAGATGAGGGAAATCAGTCACGGGACCTAGCAAATCCTCACTGAGCTTATATATATATTTATTTGAATATCGATTATCAGTGACTTAAAACCAGGGCAAAGATGTATCCATATTCCTATTCTAGTTGTGCTGTTGATGGAGCTAGTTGCACTATGAGTGTACTATGTTTATGTCATCTTTGGGGGTGTTTTCATATTCATTTTTATTTTTGGGGGGTTGTTTTATATATGTTAATCTAAATATCATGCCGTTATATTGGGTTTAGAATAGCACTGCTATATTTCTACAAACATACAAGACAGGCAGGCACATACATTCCACACTTCAACTGAAAGCCACGTGAGTATTACTGTATTTGGTGGTTGTTTTTATCATTTTATTATTATTATTATTATTGATTTGAACTGTATTTGAGCCTGTCTATCACTGTTTTTGTCACAAATAATATTTATCAGTTTGAAGAGCGCAAAGCCATTATGATTCAAGTGGCTTTGGCATTATTTTCGTCCAGAGCCTTCTGAATGTATTATTAGGTTGTAGTAGAGGGGTAGACATTCTGTTTGCGGTCTGAAGTTTTAGAGCTGTGATTATACATGATCAGAAATATATGGGCGTTATATGATTGTGGGTGAAAAAACAAGTCATTTTGTACTGTGATAATAAGTGGTTTGACAATAAAGATATCCTGACAGCGAGATGAAGCTGTATTTCTTAAGCCATTGATTTACAGCAGCCCTCCAGCTGGTGTTTCTCATATTTAAAAATCAAAAGTTAGGGGAAGCTGTTCCTAATATTTCAAAAACATTTGAATAATCCTGTGTGATGTTGTTGGATGTGTTTTATTGTAATGTGGTAGAGAAGTCAGTACAAATAAATAGTAAAAATAGTATTCTTTATTGATCAAATTACATCAGAGCAATACACTAGCTGACAATAGTCGCATATTCAAGTTTTAGGAACAACAAGTAATAAGCTTCAGAAGAAGCTTATATTAAAGGCAAAGACCTCTAGATTGTGCTTATTTTACCAAAATATAATATGATCATGTCTTGATTTTTATTTATTTAATTAGTACAGTAAGCTCTGACTTTGCTTAGACTAAAGTCTTGTCTCTTAACAGAAATAAAGTTCAGTATAGAATATAAAGTCATGGTGCAGTGGAAAAAGAATGAATATTGTTCATGACTCCCATGAGCTTGGAGGACTGCATCCACACATCTCTGCAATGACTCAAATCACTGATTAATAAAATTGTTTGGGATGGCAAAGAAAGTGTTGTTGCAGGACGCCCAGAGTTCATCAAGATTCTTTGGATTCCTCTTCAATGCCTTCTCCTCCATCTTACCCCAGACATGCTCAATAATGTTCATTTCTGCTGATTGGGCTGGCCAATCCTGGAGCACCTTGACCGTCTTTGCTTTCAGGATCAAAGCTTTGCTTTTATTTATGTTTAAAAAAACATTAAATCTCCGCTCTAGAAAAGTTCTGAGAGACCAAAAAGTACATCCTGACACTAAGAAATAACTTTATTCGGCAATAGGGGTGTCAAAATTAATTGTTTCTACGGTGCACCGCGATGCAGACGCGGACAATTCTGTATCGGTTCAGTAATAATCATAACCGGTTATTATGTACTGACGTCATTTATCTCCTATGTGCTCTGTTGCGAGGGAGGTGTGAGAGCGAGTATTTACAACACTCAGCCAATTCAGGGCCGGTCCGTGGCATAGGCACCATAGGCATATGCTAAGGGCGCTGTACATCCAGGGGGGCGCCAGAAATGAGCGTGGTACAGTTGGTTTTGTTTTCCTGACATTCAGTTATAGACGGCAATAGCTCAAAAACCTCTTACCCTAAAAAGATCTAAAGTGTGTTTCTTTTTTTTTTTTTTTGCTCGACATTACGATCGCTGCTCCGTTTAAGCCCTCGCAATATGTGTTTAGCCGGGAGAGCTCGCGCTGAGAGGAGCTCTCAGTAAGGGAAAAGTGCTTCTTTTTTTTCTTTTTTTTTCTTTTTCTGCTCCACTCAGCGCGAACTCTCCCTGTTGCGAGGGCTTGTGTGTGTGTGTGTGTGTGTGTTTGTTTGCTTATTTGTTTGTTTGTTTGGTGCTGTGTGTGTTTGATTGAGAGACAGTGTGGTGCTGTGTGTCTGTGTGTTTATACACACAGCTTGTTATAGCCTCCCCCCTAAAATATAACACTGTTTATAGAAAGCATCGTCAATGCACCGTGATATCGAATTGAACCGAATTGAAGGCATGATAACCGTAACCGAACCGAACCATGAGACCAGTATAGGTTCACACCTCTATTTGGCAAATTAAAACCAAGGCTAATATTTTTATTCCTCCCAGAGCCACAAAAAAACCATCAGTAGGCCCACACGAAGTCTGCTCGTGCAGAATTCCGCAGATTTTTAGACAATAATTAATTCTGTTTATTCACTTGAGTAAATCTAAGCTTATTCAGTTTTTAAATTCATTTCAGTAACTAATATGGGAATGTTCATCTGATTTATGTACAGTGCAGTTTGTAAAGTAATATTTTCTGTCTTTTAGTAGAAATCTTATATGAGAGACTTGCTTTGTTTACCAAATCAAGTGAATCTAATTGGATTTGCATTTTAAACATAAAATAAAAGTTAAAAAGATATATATTTTTTATTTTACATATTAATGTTTTAGTCAATGCTCCCAATATAATTCTGCAGAAATCCGAAGATTTTTACCAAAATTCTTCGCAGAAATAGCAAAAAATGTCCGCAGAGTTCGTCTGGCCCTACCCATCAGTTCCAAAAGTTACAGGAACATTGACTTCACTTTACATGACTAAATCAATAATGTTTGCAGACGAGACGTGATTTTAATATTGATGTGGAGTAGAACGGTTCAAAGAACGTTTAAATCAAACATTCTACCATTGTTAACATCAAATCTCTGTTCAGAGAACGCTCTGAGCAGGGATGGACTTTCGGGGTCCTAAGCATTACAGGTATGGGGCTATAACGGTGAAATCAAACTATTCTCTTTCTTTTTTTTTCCTCTGTAGGTTCATTTGTTTGTAAACAAACTGCACGTTAAAATATATTTAAGTGAAACCCTTATCTTAATGTAAAATTAAATACAATATACTTACAAAATAAAAAAACAAGTACAAATATGTACAGTTAATTAGCCATATTTCTGATTAGATTTTAATATTTTCATGTGCAGTATGGAAGGATAATGTTTGCAGACGAGACGTGATTTTGATGTTGACGTGATGTAGAATGGGTGAACATTCAAAGCAAACGTCCCATTTCATTACAAACATCAAAGCTTATCATGGAGGTTAACATTCTAAGAAACATCTTTACTCTGAGAAATTTCTAAGGGACCAAAAAAAGTATACATTTACTCAAAAAAAAACAACTTTATTAGTCGAATTAAAACAGGCCAATATTTGTATTCCTCCCAGAGCCAAAAAAACAACAACTATCAGATCTAAAAGTTACAAGAGCATTGACTTCACTTTCCATGACTATTCCAATAATGTCCCCTGATGAGATGTGATCTTGATGTTGACGTGGTGTAGAACGCGTAAAAGAACGTCCAAAGCGAGCCTTCTGTTTCATTATAAACACCAAAGCTTTGTTCAGGGAACGTTCTGAGAAACATTAATTAGTGTAAAATCTTTGCTCTAGGAAATTTCTAAGGGACAAAAACACTATACCCTTACTCAAAGAAACAACTTTATACGTTAAATTAAATTCAAGACCAATATTTGTATTCTTCCCAGAGCCACAAAAACCAATCAGATATAAAAGTTATAAGAACATTGACTTCACTTTCCATGACTGACTAAATAATGTCTGCAGACAAGATGTGATTTTTGATGTTGATGTAAAGTAGAACAGTTAAACAAACGTTCATTATAAACAGCGAAGATCTGTTCAGGGAATGTTCTGAGTAACATATTAAATACTAGTGTAAAATCTATTTCTTAGCGACCAAAACATTATATCCTCACTCAAAGAAACAACTTTATTCATCAAATTAAAACAGGACTATATATTTATTCCTTCCAGAGCCACAAAAAACAATCAGTTCCAAAAGTTGACATCATTGACTTCATTTTCCATGACTAATTCTATAATGTCTGCAGACAAGACGTGATTTTGATGTTGATGTGCGGTTAAACAAATGTCCATTTTAAACAGCAAAGCTTTGTTCAGGGAATGTTCTGAGAAACATATTAATTACTAGTGTAAAATCTTTGCTCTGGGAAATTTCTGAGGGACCAAAAAATTATTACCTGACTCAAAGAAATTAAATTAAAACAGGCCAATATTTGTATTCTACCCAGAGCCACAAAACCCATCAGATTCAAAAGTTAATAGAACATTGACTTGCTTTTCCATGACTAAATCAATAATGTCTGCAGACAAGATGTGATTTTGCTGTTGATGTTATGTAGAACGGTTAAAAGAACGTCAAAAACAAACGTTGCATCATAAACCTCAAAGCTTAGTTCAGGAAATGTTCTGAGAAACGTATCAAAAATACTAGTGTAAAATCTTTGCTCTGGGAAATTTCTGAGGGACCAATAAACTATTTCCTGACACAAAGAAATTAAATTAAAACAGGACAATATAGGAAAATACCAGAAATTATTCCAACTATTGTCAAATACTTAATTCAAATCCTTTTGGTAAGTAGCAGAAAAGCCATAACTCGAAAATGGTTTCAGGCTGATCGTCCAACAAGAGCTCAATGGATAGGAATTGTAAAGGAAATACATTGTAATGAGAGACTGACTTTTAATCTATGATTTGATTAAAAAAAAAAGTGTAACAAGTACTGGCAAAAATGGTCTGAATGTCATGGTAAACCATTTGTGGTAATGTATCTCAAATGTATTATGATTAGATTTTGTAACCCTTATGACAACCGCTTTGTTCTTTTGTTTTTTACTTCTATTTCTTTTCTTTCTTTTCTCTAAAAAACAAAGTGAAAACGAAAAGCAGGCCAATATTTGTGTTCTTCCCAGAGGCACACAAAAACAATCAGTTCCAAAAGTTATAAAAACTTGTACATGTGCAGTGTGGAAGGATAATGTTTGCAGACGAGACGTGATTTAGATGTTGACGAGATGTGGAACGGGTAAACGAACGTCCAAAGCAAACGTCCCATTTCATTAGAAACATCAAAGCTCATCATGGAGGTTAACATTCTAAGAAACATCTTTACTCTGGGAAATTTCTAAAGGACCAAAAAAAGTATACATTTACTCAAAAAAAACAACTTTATTAGTCAAATTAAAACAGGCCAATATTTGTATTCCTCCCGGAGACAAAAAAAAAAACAAAAAAAAAAAACTATCAGATCTAAAAGTTACAAGATGACTTCACTTTCCATGACTAAAACAATAATGTCTCCTGACGAGATGTGATCTTGATGTTGATGTAATGTAGAACGGTTAAACAAACGTTCCATTATAAACCTCAAAGCTCAGTTCAGGAAATGTTCCTAATCTTCCATGACTAAACCAAAAATGTCTGAAAACAAGATATGATTTTGGTGTAGAATGGTTTAAAAAACGTCCATTATAAACCTTGAGGCTTAGTTCAGGAAATGTTCTGAGAAACATATTAATTACTAGTGTAAAATTTTTGCTCTGTGAAATTTCTGAGGGACTAAAAAAATACCTCCTGACTCAAAGAAACAACTTTATTCAT